GTCCGTGGTGATCTTTTGAACCAATTGAGATAAAAGGCTAAAATTTTGCACACATATTTTGCCAGTAGACAAATTAAGTTCACAAATGGGACATATTGGTCCACGTTTTCGTATAGCCCCCATATAACGGTGCATCCCAATATTCGGTATTTTGATGAATTTAGCAACATTATTTAGCGGAATTGTTTCAAATTTTCTGTTTGAAGATCTTAATGAGTACCTCAGCCTATGACAAAATTATGCAGGCCCACATTTTCATATAGTCCAAATGTAACGATATATCCCGATATTCGGCATTTAAATGATTTTAGCGACATTATTCACCGAAGTTGTTTCAAATGTCATATTTGAAGTTCGTAATGAGTACTACATCTTATGACAGAAATTTGTCTAGGTTTGTCTGCCTATAGCCCACATATAACGGTAACTCCCTTTATTCGGTACTTAGCGGATATTAGCGACTTTATTCACCGGAATTGTTTTAAATTTCGTAAACGACGTTCGGAATCGGTACTACAGCCAATAAAAAAAACTACTTATGCAGGTCCGTGTGTTCGTATAACCCCCATATAACGGTTTTCATCTAAGAGGTATTTTTCGACGGATTTTTTTTAATAATTACAAGTTGCTTCTAAATGGTATTAAAAGTTTGTTTTTTTGCTTGATATACCCTCCAGAGAATGGAAAAACTCATGATTAACCCTACAAAGTATATACATAGATTCTGGATCAGCGTAAAATTCTAGGTCGATTAAGCGATGCCCGTTAGTCTGTCCGCGTGTATGTTGTAAACTCGCTATCTTTCAAACGAATCTTTGGCAGTAGGCAGTTTAAGTTCGTAAATAGGACATGTCGGTCCAGATTTTCGTATAGCCCCCATAAATTGGTACCTCCCATAATTCGGTATTTTTATGATTTTAGAGACACTATAGACTGAAATTGTTTCAAATTTCGTATTTGAAGATCTTAATGAATACTACAGCCTACGGTAAAAAAATGCATGCAACGATATCTCTCGATATTCTGTATTTTGATGACTTTAGCGACATTATTCACCGAAGTTGTTTCAAATTTCATATTTCAAGTTCGTAATAGGCACTACAATCTATGACAGAAAATTGATTATGCAGATCCACACCTTCGTATAGCCCACATACAAACGGTATCTCCTTTCATTCGAAAAATTTTATCATATTCCATTACCTACACTTTAGCTGGTAAATATGGCTGGACTATTTAAGTATCAGAAATTAGTCTGCAATACTAAATTAGACTTATGTCAAAATGGGTCTTTCAACTGAGAATCGTGGGACCTACCTTAAAACATCAACCATTGTGGACCTATATTAGAAATCTTCTACAGGATTTTATATATTGAAAACAATCTGAAATGTAAAATTATATTAAAATTGGTCCTAACATATGAAACTAAATCCTACTCTTTGAATACAGCAATAATTATTCAGAGGATTATTATATTGTCCATTTTCGCAGCAAAATTAAATATTAATATGTGTGAAGTTTCAATTAAATTCGATCTCCCTCCGTTTTTTGCCAAATATATATTTTTTGAAAATTTAGCAAATTACGTGGAAATGCCGGCATGTCCTTCTATGAAAAGTAAGATTTTTGAAAATGTTGACCGTTTTTGAGAGAGTTAGCAGATTCATCAGTCCTACATATTCTGTCTTTACTCTAGATCTAATGTTGGTTGAAATTTTGAAAATTAAAGATATTAGCCAATCAAAACTTGGTAACCATGCATATATTTTTAATCGAGCAAATTTGTCTGTTTAAATTTTTTAATGTTTCCACCATTAATCCATATTTCCCTTTCGCCAGTAAGTTTTACTATTTTTTTTTTTTTTTTTTTTTTTTTTTTTGATTCGGTATAAATAATAATAGAAATACTTTATTATATTTTTTCTAAAAAAATTATATTAATGTTTTCTCAATTCGAATATCGAAAAGAAGTTTGTTAAAATTGTATTAATTTATTTTAAAATGTTCACTTTTAATATAAGGATTAAAAATGTCATACTACCCTAAACAGTTTTCTTCATCTGCTTTTTGAAGTATTAAAATTGCCATCTCTGGGCCCTTTTAAGCATTTGTCATCTTCCATTTCTCCTTTAATATCCCATACATGATCCAAGTATAAGGTCCCCCTTCCAGCTCAGCTGATTACCAGACGATCTGTCAATTAAATTTGAATTCGCTGCAACAAAAACAAACTTCAAAACGATGGTAGAAGAATTCAGGTAGTCGCATTGCATAGCTGCTGTGGCAAAGAACTGTCAAAGCAATTTTTAAGTTAAAAATTTAAAATGAAAAATTATTCAAAAAATTATTGCAATGCTTGGGAACATTGATATGTCAAAATTGTTAAAATGTTTTGTGAAAAATAATTAGATTTTTATACGTTTTTTAAATCCAACGCAAATTGGAGGTTGTTATGATATGCAATTTTTACAAATATCAACAATTTTTCGTTTAACATTTTTAATTTCAAATTCGGTTTGACGATTCATTGTCCCAGCAGCTGCGTCGATGCGTCTACCTGTATTTTTCTACCATGTGTTATACATACAAAAATGACAACAAACATATTCGCCACAAAATTCTTCTGTCAAGGCGAAAATATTTATTTTCGCCCCAAGCATGAATTTTGACATTTCATCTGGTAAAATAACAGCTGTTTTTAGATTAATTCGCTCGGAGGAAGACCTTATAATTGGGCCATGATCCCATATTTGCAACAAAACCTTCTCTCTTTCTCACCACAGTTGAGCAAATCTTTCATTTCAGTTAGTTCTCGTGTCGTGTTCAATCTGTGCGGTCGTGCATTCTCGTGGCTCCATCCAAAATTGCTTAAAATAATTAAAATGTCGCGAAATAGTCAAATAATTACATAACTAGTGTATTTTCGGTATCAATTTAATCGTTTCGAGCATATAAACTATTACATTTCAAGTTATTAGTTGGTTTTTATGGTGTTGTTAACATTTTCTTTCTCTATGAACGTTTGTGTGTGTATGCATATGCTTATTGGAAGAGCTTTGCAAAAAAAAAGGCGCCAAATGCATTGTTGCATTCGTATAAGAAATTAACACATTTTCGAATGTGTGCACCCTATTTAGCCATCTCTTAAAGAGAAAACGGCTTTAAAGAGGAAGTGAGTGCTAAACAAACAGTGATCTACAAAAACAATAAATTGAAAGATTATTGACATTGTGCATTGTACAAAACATTTGTCAGTTCCTTTCGTACAATATTTTCGTTCATTTTCGCGATAAAGTATGTGCATGTGTAAGAACTTTGCAAAAAGGCGCCATCCGTTTCCAATTGACATTATCGATTTCGTGTACCCTATTTATCTAACTCTCAAAGAGAAATATGATCTAATGAGAATAGCAAAAGAGCAATGGCTATTTCCTTTAACAGAGGCTTCCGTATTCGCTATACGCAGTTATTTCGTCGTGTCCATTCAAAGCGGTTGTAAATTTTGGTGCTTATCAAATCGAATCAAATAATTACTTAAATAAAATAAATTTTGTCAATATGTTGCAGAAAATTAATCAAATACAGTGTTGTCGGTCTTAATTACATATTTCATTTAAATTTAGTGCATTAAATTACAAGATATTGTATAATTTGTGAAAGTTGTTAATTGGTCGCTTCTATGTGTCGTGTGTGTGTGTGTAAATATGGTGGTTTCGCCAAGTCTTACAAAAAAGGCGCCATTTGTTTGCAGTCTTAAAGAAAATGATATTTTCGATTGCGTGTGCCCTAATTATTAATCTCTGTGAGAGAGTGTGAATTAAAGAGGAACAACGAATATATGAATTTCCTCTTTCTGTCATATTTGCCATTTTTCAGTTTTCTTGTCGCGTTCGTTAGAGCTATTGTGAATTCTGATGCTTCCATAATAAAATCGATAGAAATAAAGAATCAGCGATGAAAATATAAAGAAAAGTGTTGAAAAGCAAAATTAAGCTTATATATTTGGGTCATATTCAAATCGTTAATAGTTAAATGACAAGATATTCAATATTTTCATGTTAATATTGGCTAAAATCGGTTGTGTGTGTGTGTATTCTAATTGGAAGAGCTTCATAAAAAGGCGCCAACCGTTGGCTTTCTTAATAAAAAGGTGGTGACATTTTCGATTGCGCGTACCCTATTTTGCCTTCAAGGGGAAATTATGAAAAGTGTTAAGAAATATTGTACAAAAAACGCAATAATTCGGGTTTTCATTGCCAAAATCGTGAGGTATCCCGTTAAAAAAATTAGTAAATTTTTATTTATTTGATCGTAAATTAAAAAAGGTATCAAAAATCAGACAATTTGTCTTATAAAAATATTATTGTCGGGTTCGGGTGTTTTTCGCTGATATATATTGAAATTGATATATATTGAAAATATTCAATAATTTTTATTTGATATTATCAAAAAATCGTTTGTGTGTGTATTCCAATTGGAAGAGCTTCGTAAAAAGGCGCCTACCGTTGGCTTTCGTAAAAACAAAAGTGGTGACATTCTCGATTGCGCGTACCCTATTTTGCCTTTATAGGAAAATTATCAAAGTGTTAAAGAAATATTTCACAAAAAGAACCAAAAATTCGGATTAAAAATTTAGTAAATTTGTATTTATTTGTTCGTAAATTAAAAAAAAAGGTATCAAAACTCAGACAATGTGTGTTATAAAAATATTCTTGTCGGGTTCGGTTGATTTTCGTCGTTAATGTCGGTTATGGAAAGACATTCGTAATAAAAGGTATTTGCAACCTTCGGTTTGATTCGGGAGTGTTTGGAAATTCAAGTTTTAAGCTGTTGTTTCAACAATAAAAATGGTGAGTAATTTAACAGCATAATTTTTAACATTTAAATATTAAAAATGTTTAATACAAATGTTCAATAAGAAAGAGCCCGAACTCAACTTCACTTAAGCTCTAACGTCAACACTTACCAAATCAACTAAATTTTTAATACCATTCACATATTTATTTATTTAAAAATTTTTATTATCAATAATTTATTTCATTTGCAACATCGAGTTCTTGGTGTCGCCATTGCAAATGAATTTTGAGTTAGTTCTGTTGTCGGTTTCAGCTAAATGTTGGATTAAACATTTTTTAAAAATAAATTCAATATACTACAGAATTTGTTCAGTTGTAATAGTAGCAGTAGTAGTAGTGGTTGACTAAACAACGGCTAACATTATGAAGCTTTAATATCAGTCTTAAGTTTACGTTCTGTTGTAGTTTCCTAAAAAAATCAAAAAAGTGCAACAATTTATTTTCAAAATCCAAACCATAGTCATGGAAACCTCTTACATGTTGTTTCGTCTTATTTGGTACCTTGACGGGGAAAGTGGCTGGCATTTCCTTGTGATTCGTCGGCTGATGAGGATTCACTTTCGTTGAATTCGAAACATCTTTTGGTTGCATCACCGCTTCATTGGTTTGGGCAGCAATGTTGGTAGTGTTAATAGTATTTGTTGTTGTAGCATTATTATTATTCAAAACATTTGAATTTTCCTTTGAAGGCGTTTCTGTGGCATCTTTTGGCATATCCGCTGCATTAAAATTTAAGACGGGGATGGGTATAGTATCGTCGGTTACATTGACATCATCGGGTTTGGGTTCTTCTTTCTTTACATGCATAACATCAATCTCGGTCACATGGTTTTTGGGTTCCTGGCAACAAAAAACAAAAGAATATGTAAATAATATTTAAAAGATTTAGACGTCTTAAATCATCGCGGATATTCGATTACGACGGTGCTCTTGAAATCTTAAAAGATCCATGGTTGTATGCCCACCTTCATGCCATCCTCGGCCTCGATGGACATCTGTGTCTTTAGCTGGTGTCTAAAATCTGATTTTGTATTAATTTTAGTCATTCAGAACAGTAGCACATTTTCTTTCCGGACTCCGACTTCAGCAGAGGAAATCGAGCTCTACTCGAAGCCCTGGATATAATCAACAGAATAGTTCCTGACTTGGTGGTCTTTATAGAAGAGGTGAAGGTCGTCGAATTTATAGACGAGCTGTGAAGGTCGTCATCTTTATAGAAGAGCTGAAGGTCGTCGAATTTGTAGACGAGCTGTGAAGGTCGTCTTTATAGACGAGCTTTGAAGGTCGTCTTTATAGACGAGCTGTGAAGGTCGTCTTTATAGACGAGCTGTGAAGGTCGTCTTTATAGACGAGCTGTGAAGGTCGTCTTTATAGACGAGCTTTGAAGGTCGTCTTTATAGACGAGCTGTGAAGGTCGTCTTTATAGACGAGCTGTGAAGGTCGTCTTTATATACGAGCTGTGAAGGTCATCTTTATAGACGAGCTGTGAAGGTCGTCTTTATAGACGAGCTGTGAAGGTCGTCTTTATAGACGAGCTTTGAAGGTCGTCTTTATAGACGAGCTTTGAAGGTCGTCTTTATAGACGAGCTTTGAAGGTCGTCTTTATAGACGAGCTGTGAAGGTCGTCTTTATAGACGAGCTGTGAAGGTCGTCTTATAGACGAGCTGTGAAGGTCGTCTTTATAGACGAGCTGTGAAGGTCATCTTTATAGACGAGCTGTGAAGGTCGTCTTTATAGACGAGCTGTGAAGGTCGTCTTTATAGACGAGCTGTGAAGGTCGTCTTTATAGACGAGCTTTGAAGGTCGTCTTTATAGACGAGCTGTGAAGGTCGTCTTTATAGACGAGCTGTGAAGGTCGTCTTTATAGACGAGCTGTGAAAGTCGCCTTTACAGACGAGCTGTGAAAGTCGCCTTTACAGACGAGCTGTGAAGGTCGCCTTTACAGACGAGCTGAAGGTCGTCTTTATACACGAGCTGAAGGTCGCTTAGAAAGACTCACTTCAGTTCGCTGAGAGAGATTTCCTTCAGATGGTCTGGAAAGACTCCCTTCAGATCGTCTGGAAAAACTCCCTTCAGATCATCTAGAAAAACTCCCTTCAGATCGCCTGGAAAGACCTACAACTCGTCTAAAAAGAATCCCTTCAGCTGGTCTACAGAAACTACCTCACACTTTGTCTTTAAATACCCCCTGTGAGACCGAGATCCTTCGACGAATCAAAAACACTTCACGACTCATATCTTAAGACTCTCCTCGATTCGTCTATAAAAAATCTCCCTTCTGATCATCTTGAAAATCTCCCTCAAGAAGAACTACCTTCGGCTCAGCTATAGAAAGACTTACCGTCCAGAAATGCTAATGTCTATAAATACTGACTTCGGGTCTTCCATAAACACATGATTCTGGTCGTCTATAGGGATTCCTTTCTGCTCATTTCAGAAAAGTGTCTTCTGCATTCTCTTAAAACTTTCTTCCACTGGTTTAGACAATCTTATCTTAAATTCCTGAAGAGCTTTAAAAGGTTTCCATATTTACTCAGGCCCTCACTTCAAGCCCGTATATCTATTATTTTATAAATCTTTCATTTATATACCTTTTCAAAAGACGCTTCGGCCACTATCAGATGATAATTATCCCGGCAATATTGTCTCAGCAACTCAATACCCTTCTCACGACAGTGGCCATAGCGATGTTCCCAGGCATCGAGCAGACGATTATAGTAACGCGGATTATCAACAAATTTCAAATAATTGAAGGTATTTGGTGTTGGAAATATTCGCTCCAATGGACTGCAACGATTCAATTCATCTTCACTTAACAGCAAACAGCGCACATCATCGGGTAATAAATGTTCCAAGATGGCATCCAAATAATCCTCTCGCACTTCAATGGAACGATTGGTAAATTGATTATGTTTTCGAATTTCTTCATTACGTAGGCATGTGGTAAACAGACGTCTATCGAAACACAACGGACCCTCCAGCTTCAGCTCTTCCAAAATATCTTTTTGTTGTTTTTCGTTGAGTTTGGGTGGCACCTGATAGAGGGCAGTGTTTAAGACCGCCTGTATCAGTGGTCCCTTGACGTGTAAATCTAATGGCAAATCTGAATGTAATGAAGGTGAAATATTTATCTCCAACAGCCATGGCACCAAGTTCTCATCCAGCAGCACATCGAAACCAAACAATTCGAAACAATTATAACGGAAATTTACATTCTGGCGATACATTCGATTAAGGCCCGCCTCACCGCTAATCAAGGCTTTGATCACCAAATTACGCAAGGTGGCCCATAGGCGTTTGGTGTTCACACCACGTTCCTCCAGACATGACCACAACGATTGCAGGGTCCATTTGTGACCCTGACACGCATTGACATCTTCATTTTTGTCATAACTTTCGGAGAATTTATTAATGCTATAATTGGTTAGATGCATACACACATCGTCTAGGCTATTCAATTCAGAACTGTATTTAACTGAAAATAGAGAACACATCATTACACATTTACCGAACATTATTCAAAATGCAGAGCACTTGCCGGAAGCAAAACGTGCCAAACCATCTTTGTACATGTACAGGCGCAATGGATTTATTGAGGTCAACACAACATAGATACGCATATCAAACTTATTGTCGTTTATAAGCAGGGGACGTTCAATGTATCTGGAAGGACAATTTAAAATATTATAGGGGAATTCTTATTTTATTACTCATTGCTGACTTACTTTTGTACAACTAATGGTAAATCTTTGGGAAATTGTGACCATTTATTTACAATACTTATGCCGGTTCCTCGTGCACTTGCCGGTGGCTTTACAATCCATTTGGTGCGACGTGCCACATTTCTGGGCCATGCTTTTCTCAACAGCTCTAACTCCTCTGGCATGACATAGGATCTGGAAGTTAAAACAAAAAACACAAAAAAAAATAATGAACAAGTTAAAAAGTTTCGGTCGGTTTTGCCGACAGATGTATACCCTCAGCCAATGTTCGAGTATTTTAAAATCTGTTGACTTCTGGTTTGATTGATCAAATATTTAAACCTTTATGCAGTTGGTTCCGAAGGAATTGGCCATTATTGGCCATTTCGTGTCGGGCCTAAATAAATATAATATAAATATTGCGACGTGCTAGGTTTGGGCTGTGTTGTGTTAATGGAAATTTTGGGATGTACCAGGTCATGAATAGAATCGGATGTCAATTTCGCTTTTTATGAGCTTCATGGATTTTCAAAATTTTGAGCCTTTGTGGGGGAGGTACCAGAATGAGTGGACCGATATATCCCATCTTCACAACGGATGTTTTCTTAGTGGAAATAATGAGATGTATGAAATATAAAGAGAACCTGATTTCGGGTTTTATAAAAGTTTTGGTTATTCAAAACTTTGACCCCTTGTGGGGGAGATACCAGAAAGAGTAGACCGATATATTCCATCTTAACACCAGATCTTGGATTTAGGAAAATATTGGAATGTGTGAAATTTTAAGACTGTCGGATTCCAAAATCACACTATAATTATTCAAAATGTTTACCCTTTGTGGGGGAGGTACTTGATGGTGTGGACCAATATTATCCATTTTTATACCAGACCTAGAACTGACGAAAATATTAGGATTTGCCAAGTTGAAGCAAACCCGGATTACCGCTTCTCTTTCTGCGCAGAAAAAAATATTTTTTTTTCTTTTTTTAAAGTTTTGACCTTGTATGAGGGAGGTACCAGAAGGAGTGGACCGATATTGTCCATCTTGACACCAGACCTTGGGTTAATATAAATATTGGGATGTGTGAAATTTGAAGACAATCGGGCTCTTACATCAAATTTTACGAGAGTTTTAATTATTCAAAATTTTGACCATTTGTGGGGAGGTACTTGATGGAGTGGACCGATATTGTCCATTTTCACACCTGACCTAGCACTGACGTAAATATTAGGATATGCAAAGTTGGAACAAAATCGGATTATCCTTTCTTTTTCTGTGCAAAAATATTTTTTTGAAAATTTCGACCTTTTGTGGGGGAGGTACCAGAGGGAGTGGACCGATATATTCCGTCTTAACACCAGACCTTGGGTTAATATAAATGTTGGGATGTGTGAAATTTGAAGACAATCGGACTCTTACATCACATTTTATGAGATTTGTAATTATTCAAAATTTTGACCATTTGTGGGGGAGGTACTTGATGGAGTAGACCGATATTGTCCATTTTCACACCTGACCTAACACGGACGCAAATATTAGTATATGCTAAGTTGGAGCAAAATCGGATTATCGTTTCTCTTTCTGTGCAGAAAATATATTTTTTGAAAATTTCGACCTTTTGTGGGGGAGGTACCAGAAGGAGTGGACCGATATTGCCCATCTCCGAACTCGATCTAAGTTTGACAAAAATATTACGATGTACCAAGTTTGGACCAAATCGGATACTCCCTTCGAGAGTTATCGTTCGCACCAGCCAGCCAGATAGACAGACAGACAGACGGACGGACGGACGGACATCGCTAGATCGACTCCAAATGTTCTGAAACGGATTTGGTCCAAAGAGACCTAGGGTCTAAAACCGTTATTTCCACTAGGCACGTTTTGACCGTATCAAATGATATATACCCTCTGTAGCCATATGGCTGAGGGTATAAAAAATAGGATCTGCTAGGGCTAGTTTGTATATAATGGATTCTGGATTTTGTGAATCTATACAGGTTTTGTTTAAAATGATTCCAATATATATATAAAGATATTCTTAAATAGTAGTACGTAAGAATCCGTTCCTAACGACACAAAGAGTAATGTTGAGTAGCCTTAAAAAACTTATTTTTAGACCTTTAACAGTACTACCTTCTAGTCGTCTATAAATATTCCATTCGCCTATATATAAGTCGTTTCAACTAATCGTTAGAGACTTATTTCATGCTATCATACATGCTTCCTTCTCTCCTCATTTACAAACCATAAAGATTTTTAGATCTAGAAAGGCTTTGCCTGCTAATGCTAACAAAGATGTCAACAAAGTCTCCAAAAAAACTTATTTGTATCTTTATGTATTAGAAGACTTATTTTTGGGCCTTTAGAATTATTCCAAAATAAATATTCCTTCTTGTCGTCTATAAATGCTCCCTTCCTATAGTCTATGAGTCGCTTCAAATCCTCTAAAAAGACTATCTTAACCTCGTCTCGTCTTTCAAGACTTGCTTCAACTCGTCCATAAAGCCTTGCTGCATCTCGTCTACAAATACTCGATTCAACACATCAATCATTCTTGCTTTAGCTCGTCGATAATGGCTCTTTTCAGTTTGACTAAATACTCCTTTCAATTCATCTAAAAAGATTACCTTTAATTCGTCTAAAAAGACTATCTTCAGTTCGTCTAAAAAGACTCCCTTAAAATCGTTCATAAAGACATCCTTGAGCTCGTCTATAAAGATTCCCTTAAGCTTGTATAAGAAGACCCACATCAGCTCGTCTACAAATACTCGATTCAATTCATCAATAAATTATTGCTTTAGCTCATCGATAATGGCTCTCTTAGCTTGTGTAAAATATTCCTGAGTTTGTCTAAAACGACTCCCTTGAGTTCCTCTAAAAAGACCACCTTCATATCGCGTAGAAAGACACCATTCAACTCGTCCATAAGGACACCCTTCAGCTCGTCTGAAAAGATTTCTTTCAGCTTGTCTAGTAAGACTCCTTCAGCTAGTCCATAAACACTCACATCGCTTAGTATATTAATACTTCCTTCGGATCTTTTATAAAATATAAAATATAATAGTATATCTCCCTCCAAATCATACTTAAATAACACTAGCTTTAGTTCTTCCTTATACACACTATTTGGGTCGTTGAGAAGGACAACTGTTCTGTAACCCAAAAACACTGCCTTCACCCTTTAACTTAGGTATGTGTCTCTGTTTCAGCTGGTCTATGAATACTGTTTTTTCAACTAGTCTATGGAAACACTCCGGCTATTTATAAAAGGACTGTCTTTCCAGTTTTGCGCGTACGAGCTTAAATAAGACTTTATCCTTGAAGAAAGTCTTTCTTTATTTCTGCGAAAATTCCTCCTTAATGTATGTCTCTAGAAAATTCCTTTTAGCTCGCGTGTGTAAAGACTTAGCTCGTTTGACTCCCTAAGACAGCTCTGTTGTAGCTAGTCTATGAAAAACACTCCGTTTCAACATGTATAAGTTTCAGTTCGTCTAGTAAAAGACTTCTTATTTCAGCTCTTCAGGTTATCAGGTTATCTATGAAAATACAGCTTGATTCAGCCTGTTTCAAGTAGTCTATAAAAATAACGCTCTGTATCGAGTAGTCCTTAAAAGTCTCAAATTTCAAATTGTTGATGAATGCCCCCAAAAAGACACCCATTTTTGAAAAGACATACTGTTTCGTCTAAGAATACCCCCTTTCCTTTCAGCATTTATGACGAGAACTCATTCTTTACCCTCGTCTAGGAAAAGACCTCATCCTTTCGTTGTACCTAAGAATAGACCTTTCGGGTCGTCCAGGAAACGACGCAGTATAGGAGCTTATACTCATTACTGAATCTATGAGAAGACTTTTCCTCATCTAGGAAAAGAATCTTTCTTCCACCTCCTATAGTACAATTCTTTTTATAACATGTCTAGAAAGACTATCTTTCAGAAAGTTCGAAAAAAAACTATTTTCTGATCATTTATACTTCAAACATTCAGGACTTGATTCAACCTGTTTCAAGTAGTCTATAAAAATAACGCTCTGTATCGAGTAGTAATTAAATGTTTCAAATTTCAAATTGTTGATGAAAGCCCCCAAAAAGACGCCCATTCTTGAAAATACATCCTGTTTCGTCTAAGTAAACTTCCTTTTCTTTCAGCATTTATAGGACGAGAACTCATTATTTACCCTCGTCCAGGAATAGACTTCATCCTTTCGCTGTACCTAAGAAAAGACCTTTCTGGTCGTCCAGGAAACGACCCAGTATAGGAGCTTATACTCATTACTGAATCTATGAGAAGACTTTTCCTCATCTAGGAAAAGAATCTTTCTTCCACCTCCTATAGTACAATTATTTTTATAATATGTCTAGAAAGACTATATTTCAGAATGTTCGAAAAAAAAAACTATTTTCTGATCATTTATACTTCATTCATTTTCTCCTCTATAAAAGACTCGCTTTTTGTTCGCTTACGAAAGTGCTTTCCATCAGCTGGTGTATATTAGGATTTACATTCTTCTCCTCTTTCAGATAGTCTATGGAAAAAACCCTCTGCCCAGCTAGTCTATGAAAAATACTTCCAATTCTCTCGTCCAGCTCGTGTAGAAAGTCTCTCATTTCAGCTTTTCTAAGAAAATGCTTTATTTTCTGATAGTCTCGGAAAAGACTCTTTCCTGATTCAAATTTAGCTCGTCTTAGAAAATGATCTCTCTCAGCTTGAAAAAGCTTTTTCTATTCTGCTATGAAAAATCTTTATTCTTTCAGATTATCTAAGAAAAAGTTATTTCAGGTTGCCCTTAAAACAACTTTCTTCTTTCAGCTCGTTTAGGAAAAATTATCTTTGTTTCAACTGTTATAGCTCATTGCGAAAATCATTTTTTCCTAAATGTATAAAATGACTATTTTTTAGTTTAACTAGACTCGCCTCTTCCGACTCCGTCGCTCGTTTAGAAAAGGAATCCTTCCTTTCCCCTCGTCGATGCCAAAAACTTCGTCCAGAAAAGGACTTATTCCTTTCAACTCGTCTAGAAAAAGGTTACCTTTAGGAATGTCTATTAAAATACTTATTTTCAGATATGGTAGGGAAGACTATCTCCTGTACATCTTTATTTAAAAGGATTCTATATCCCATCTATTTAAGGACTTTATGTCCTTCATCGACCTTTTACCCAGTACATAAAAAATCCTTTGGGTTTTCATATTTTTATTCTTTCCTAAATTCATTCTTCCCCCTGGGTTGTCCAAAAATGCCCCTTTTCGACATGACTGGAAAAGGTTTCTGATTTTCTATGAAGAAACCTAAGTCCTTCTCCACTTTTCCGAAACTCACTCACTTTTGCATAAATCCAAATTCCTTTTTGCCGAATTTCTTCATTTTGTCATTGATGCTACGCCACATGCTGTCCTTGCGTCCAATGCGAAATGAGCCAGGCATGTGATTGTATTTCTGATGAGAACGGATTGTTCGAAAGCCGGGGCTTTTCATGTGTTTCTCCCAAACGGCCATCCAATCAGTTGTATCTGTAAAAGAAGACGATTTTTATACAGACTTCGTTGTTCAAACTCTAAAATCCGACTTACTTTTAATTATGCGAAATCCTGAATTGAGAACAACTCTCTTGACAATTTTTGGCATTGCTATACTCAGTTTCCATTTAAGAATTTTATGCAGTTGAGCTGACATGGGTGGTCCTCGCTCGGCATGGGATGAATAGTTCAGATAGGGTGCAACATTGGGGAAAAGACTTGGCGAAAGTATTGTTGTGGGGGTGTAGTAGACATAAGGCTCTGAAAAGAGTTATAGATTTTTTTTATTTCAAATCATTGTTGTTTTTTTTTTTTCTTTACTTACTTGTTTTGCTTTGCAGCGTTTCATCACCATCCTCCTCCAAATGGAATGGCTCTCCAACATAGTCCTCCTCAAAATCACTGTCCGTATCGGGATTGACATCATCTATGGCTGGAAAAAAATAATTTCAATACCATATTAACAAATTGAATATTTTTCAATATTACCTGCACTTGGATCATCATCATCGGCATACTCACTGCCATCGTGCTTTGTGGCACCACCATTGATTCCTTGATTAGCTAAAGAGACACCAACAAAATTACTACCAGTAGTACCAGTCTCACCTTGGTTAGAAGAACGCACAGCTGGCATACCATTGGAAATGTTATTGTGTGCCTTATCAGCATTCAAATAATTGGCTGCATAAAAGCTAGCCTCATAGGCAGAGGCTGCGGTGGCTTTGCTGGGTTTCAAGCCATTCAGGGTTAGTATTTTCTCTTTTTCCTCCAATTGCTGACCATTCAGCAGGCTACTGGCATGGAATTGATTGACAATGATTTTGGCATTATTCTTGGGACTCGGGGTTAACGATGCGGATGGAAAAGGAGATGGAGGCATAGCGGCGTTGGCGGGTGTATAAGCAGTTGCAGCATTTAAGCTATTCTTATTACTAACAGTGTTTTCAGCAGTTGTGACTTTAGAATTTGATCCCGTCATTACATTTTTTACTTTACTAGGACTTTGTGGAGCAGTGTTGACATTGGCATTTGGTTTGGCCATGGCCGCGGATGTAGGAACGGCATTCGACGTATCGTTTGTACTGTGACCCGAACGCTTGGCATTAGGATGACTAGAGTTATTGGCATTTGGGGAGGTAATTTTGCCACTTCCCGCCTTTTTCGTAGGCGTTTCTTCTCGTGGTCTCTTTAATTGCAACTTTAGATGATTAGTAAAAGCAAAACGAGTAGGAACAATTATGCACATGAGAGGAGGTGTTGGTATGGGGTGGGTGTGTGTGTTTTTTGGCAGCGATTCAATCAACAGGCAGGTCCATGTGGGAAACGTTAAATAAAGAAAAACGTACAATTATTGGGAAAATGTTAATCACAATTCGAGATTAGTTTGGGATAAATTTGTGTTGTTTTATTTGATACAGTTTTAGGACTTCAAAGATGCTCCCTAACTTATCTATAAAAATTCCTTCTCAATGGGATATTAGGTACTTGTTTTCTGTCGTCTTTAGAGACTCAAGGGATGCTTTTTCCAAAGTCTAGATTCAACCTAAAACGAGAACCAGTAAGGAAAAGTCAATTGTCGGGGAAGGTCGACTATGTTATGGCCTACACCACAGTGCATATATAGTAGAAGTGGATCATACCACCTATCAACATTTAGCCTTAGGGCAGTTATAATTTTTTTTGGAAGGAACTAATATATGTGAAGCATATCCAATTCTGAACCGATTTTCACTAAATTTTCTGAGCTCTATAAGATATCTGGTACCAAGTATAATTGGTATCGAATGTATATTACGATTGTGAGGGACTTAAAGGCCAAATCGGATGAAACATATATGGGAGCTGAAGCTATATCTGAAGCGATTCTCTCCAAATTTGAAGTACTTGCTTCTAGAATACAGATTCGGTCGGTTGTGCCGAAATTCAGGTCATTTGGACTGATATTGGCCATTTGGTGGGCAATTAACCCGAAATCGGTTGAAGAAGCTATATACAAATCTGAACCGATCTTGATAAAATTTGGCAGAGGTATTTCCGAGCTCTATAAAATATCTGGTACCAAATATCATTCTTATGGAGTGCATATTACGAATGTGTGGGACTTAAAACCCAAAATCGGATAAAACATATATATGGGAGCTATAGCTATATCTAAACCGATTTTCTCCAAATCTGATGTACTTGCTTCTAGACTGAATTCGGTCGGATGTGCCAAAATTCAAGTCATTTGGACTGATATTGACCATGTAGTGCACAAATAACGCGAAATCGGTTGAAGGTATATGGGAGCTATATCTAATCTGATTCGATCATAACCAATTTCAAAAGGGTTCGTCATTGAGCCAAACAATATTGTTTGGAAAATGTCATCTCAATTCGATAATAAATGCGACCTGCATTTTGTTCACAAAAATGCATGGATGGATGGACGGGCAGACATGCATAAATCGACTCAGAAAGTGATTCTATGAAGATCCTCAAAAGTAACTATTGGTTTATCTCGCTTACTTCTCCATGTTACAAACAAATGCACAAAGACATAATACCCTTACCACTATGCGGTGCAGGGCATAAATATTCAGATAAAAGCATTCGGAGGGTTCCAATAAGGGTCACACTAGATCGAATTCCTGCAGCCCTTCTATGAAATACTAACTTAGGTCTCCTATGGCCAGTAGACCTCTAGGTGTTTCTATAGCCAGTAGAAGACCTCTAGGTGTTCTATAGCCAATAGAAGAACTCTAGATATTCCACAGCCAATAGAAGACCTCTAGTTCTTCTATAGCCAATAGAAGACCTCTAGGTCTTCTATAGCCAGTGGAAGACCTCTAGGTCTTCTATAGCCAGCGGAAGACCTCTTGGTCTTCTATAACTAAACAAGTTAAAAAGCAGTAAGTTCGGCCGGGCCGAACTTTTAATACCCTCCACCATTTGCAACGAATTTGGAAATTTTCAAAAAATAAAATCCTTAAAAAATTCTGTTAAAATTTTAAAAATACCGAATATAGCCGTTATATTGGGGTCTATACGATGTGGACATACATATGCATTGTTTGTCATAAGCCATTGCCATATTCAAATTCGAAACTGGACCCGCACCGACAATACCAAATTTTAAACAATTCCGGTTAATAATGTCGCTAAAATCATCAAAATACCGAACATAGCGAGGTGCCGTTATATGGGGCTATACGAAGACGTGGACCTGCACAGACAATTTTCAGTCTTAGGGTGTAGTATCCAGTTGGAACTTCAAATACCAAATTTGAAACAATTTCAGTGAATAACGTCGCTAAAATCATCAAAATACCGAATATAGGGGGGTTACCGTTATATGGGAGCTATATGAAAACGTGGACCTACATGGCCCATTTACGAACTTAACCTGCCTACTGGAAAAATAAACATGTGTGCAAAATTTTAGCCATATATCTCAATTCATTCGAAAGATAGCGTGATTACAACAGACAGACAGACGGACAGACAGACAGACGGACAGACAGACGGACAGACAGACGGACATCGCTAAATCGACTTAGAATTTTACGCTGATCAAGAATATATATACTTTGTTGGGTCTGACATGAGTATTTCGAGGAGTTACAAACGGAATGACAAAGTTAATATACCCTCCATAGTATGGTGGAGGGTATAAAAAGACATCTCGGCTTTTATAGCCAGGTCTTCTATAGGCAATAGAAGACCTCTAGGTCTTCTATAGCCAGTAGAAGACGTCTGTGCTTTCTATAGCCAGTAGAAACCTCTAGGTCCTCTAGGTATAGTATAAGACCTCTTGGTCTTCTGTGGACTATGGATAGTAGAATACTTCTAGGCTTTCTATGGACAACATAGATCTGTGGACAATAGAAGACCTGTTATGAGCAATAGAAGACCTCTAGCCCTTCTATCGACCTCTAGGTTTACTCTTGGCCTTCTATGAAAAGTAGGATCTTGGGTCTTCTATACTCCTCTAGGACTTCTACGGACCTCAAAATACATCTGGGTTTTCTATGGATAGTAGAAAACCTCTCGGTCTCTTTTGGACAGTATGGACCTCTAGGACCTCATCTGTGTATATCTTTTATGGACAGTAAAAGATCTCTAGGCCTTCTATGCACAATAGAAGATCTCTAGGTCTTCTATGGACAATAGAACCCTCTTGACCTTTTATGGACAATAGGAGACCTTTAGGTCTTCCATGGACAATAGAACAGCTATAGACTTTCTATGGACCTCTAGGTCTACTCTTGGCCTTCTTCTCGGTCTCTTTTGGACAGTAGAATACCTTAGAGTCTGTTATGGACAGTAGAACACATAGGGGTATCCTATAAGAAGTAAAAGACCCCTGGGTCTTCCATGGTCAGTAAAAGACCTGGGGGTATTTTATGGACAGAAGGAGGTCTGTAGGTCTTCTATGGACCGAGGAAGACATCTAGGTTTTTTTCTTCTAAATATTAGAATAATCAACTGTCGCTAACTGTCAATATCGAAAAAGTTGGTTTAGAATGCATTTTTGTGTTGGGAAATGCGTTTAATACCAAGATCTGACCAACATCTCAAACAAATTTAGTTATTTCAAATTAAACAATCGAAAACAACAACAACATTCCGTAATCCTTCAACAATAAACATAATTGCAATATCAAAAATAGCCACACAACTTACCTGATGTCCACCGGATGCTTGAGATTTCGCATGCTTTGTCGCTGTGTCAGCAGATGCTGCCAATGTTGGGGTTACTTTCACTCTCGTGTTTTTGTTGTCGCTCACATTTCGACGTTTGACATTTCCATTGGTAACCATATTTGCACGGCCACTGGTGGCTGTTGTATTTGTCTCAGACGATGTTGACTTGTTGTTGTTGTTGGATGCAGTTGTATTTGTTGATGCCATCGGATGTGACGACATTTTATTGGCACTTGAATTGTGTTGTTGTTGATGATGATGAGTATTTACCGCCACAACATCTATTTGGCAGCCTTGCGGTGTATGGGCATGATTGTGCGAACCAAGCAATTGAGGTGGCGGCACATGTTTCTGCTTCTGACCATGCATCATATCCTTGTACACTTCCATCTCCTCCAGCCAAGATTCGTGAAAATCTTTTATTTCCAAACCCTTGACATTGGGGCTGGCCATAACTATGCCATTGCTGCGTAACGCTGCAGCCGCAGAGGCATTCTCCTTGGCATGGTGGTGGTGATGATGATGATGATTGCTCTGGTGGTGATGGTGATGATGATGATGATGCTGCTGCTGTTGGTGGTGGTGTTGCTGCTGTTGATGACTCAATTGCATTGTTGGTGTTGTTGGTATTATAATGTCGCCTTGTTGTTGCTGTGCTTGGTTTGACATTCTTTTTTCACTTATCGGGGCCATTATCTTTCAATTCACTTTGCTCCACTTTCAATTTAGTTTTCTACCAAAATAAATGTTGAAAATTTTATTTTTATTTTAAATAAATTTATTTTATCTGCTGTTTTTAAATTCATTCGACTTCAGATTTTTTCCTAAAAATTCGTCAACATAAATTCCAAAACATTGGTCGTTCGCTCGAAAGAATTCGAAACACAGTATGAATATGAAATTTAGTTATTTTTCGTATCGCGATTTTTCATTCGAAATTTTTTTTCACCGTCGTCTTTTCGCTGTGACACAACCGAAATGTTAAAAAATGCAAATGCAACTGAATCAATCTATTTTAAATGTGGCACAGCCCCAAGATTTAATTTTTTTCGAATTTTTATTCCATCTCTTTTGTTAGATTCGGATTCTCTAAATGAATGGGAGAAGAGTGAGAGCGCGCGAACGCATGCCTCCTAGACAAAAGGGGGATTTATGGGACAGACACGTTTGTTACTGCTGCTTCCTGTGATGCATCGTATCGAAGATGCAAATCAATTACAATTTTCTGCCGATCTCTTCTATGTTTATCTATTCTAAACATCAACGATCGATATGTCTAGTTAGCATTGCCACCGATCACAACTTTTTTGTTTTCGTTTCGAAAATTTTTAAATTGGCTAGAGATTAAGAGGAGGAGATGATCAAAAAGAATTAGCGTCTTGTAGTTCATCTTTTAGAGGGAAAGTATATATGCATCCAAAGGAGACTATCAATCGAGCTCGGCTGAATATATTGTTCAATCATTATTGTTGTAAGAGAGTGAGAGAGCAACAAAACGTACTATTTACTTTCACCGTATTGGATTCATTCAAAAAAATACCTGGAATTTGACATTTACAGATATTGGTAAGTATCGACTCCCTCGGCTACTACTTGGTAAAGACCCAACATAGCGGATCCTTCTGATTCAATTTTTTTTTTTGTGGGCTTCGAACGTATTTTCAAACCAAATAAGCTTTAATTTTTCGTTATAGGTTTTCAGAAGACATAAAACATCCCTGTAGAACATTTTCAATAAAAAACAACTATTTGATATAGAAAAAAACTGACATAACATTTTATTGAATGAAAGAAAAATGTCGGAAATAGCATCAAATTTTAGAATAAGTTTAGATTTGTTCGAATTGGTTACCTTTGGCACGAATTATGCCCTTCAAACGGCCAATGAAACCGTCACACGCTGCCCGAATGTTGTTCTGCGTTATTTTGGCCCATTCTCAGCGAAGCGATTGCTTGAGGTGATCGACACTTTGGTATTTTTTAGTACCAACCTTGCTTTCCAAAATACTCCAGACACAATAGTCTAACGGATTGGTATCCGGAGATTTTGGTGGCCGTAGTGCGCTGGATCACTCGATCAAATCGCTTCTTTTTTATATACTAACCATTTCTACTGATGTTGCTGTTTTCTTCCGTCCACCTCTTTGACGTCGGGCTACGCTACCAGTGTCACGGTAACGAGCGATGGTACGAGACAAAAAGGATTTATTCACATTTAAATGCTGGAGGATCACCCTATCACGCTTGAATTCCATCCCGATTAACTTTTTTTCTGGAAAGTTCTCAGCAAAAATGCTTTTGTACGCTTTTAAACAATATAATGTGCTGTCACTGGAACAATTTTAAGAGCTGTCGGACGAGTGGCTTAGAAATAACAGCAGTCTCAAGTTGGTTGCAGTTTTTTCATCTCACCCTGTATATAATAATACTTCTTGATTTTTGGTATTTTTATTGTTTAAATCACAATTTCACACCGAATCACATGCAATGTTGCATTTCGGATTCTGAGCAGATAAAATCTCTCCATACAGAAAATTGTGAAGATGGGTTCTATATTTGGTCCTAATTTCCGGTATTTTTAAGGATTCGGCCACATCTTCAAATCAAACCACTCAGTTATTCATACTTTTTGACGGAGGACGTAACATAAATATTAAGACCTATTTATTCCAACTCTAAAATATATATACTTGAGTCATTCTATACGAGACAAGCAAGTGCTAGCTACTTCGTCAACGAATAGTTCAACATAAAAATTTAGATTCGTTCCAACAATTCAGGAAAGGCCTTTTCATAGCCTCCACCATAGTATGGAGGGTATATTCAGATTGTCATTCCGTTTGTAACACCTCGAAATATTATAGAGTTTAGACTCCACAAAGCATATGATCAGAATACAATTCTATGTCGATTTAGCGATGTGCGCCCGTCTGTGGAAATCATTCTATCTTTTGAACGAAATGAAGCAGGTTGATAAAATTTGGTATTTGAAGTTCGTAATGGATAATACAGCCTATTACAGAAAATTGTCCGTGCTGGTCCACGTCTTCGTATAGCCCCCATATAACGGTATCTCCCGATATTCGGTATTTTGAGGATTTCAGCAACATCATTTACCGGAATCGTTCCGAATTTCGTATTGGAAGATCTTAATGGGTACAACAGACTATGGCAAAAAAAATCGTATGCAGGTCCACGTCTTTGTATAGCCCTCATATAACGGTACCTCCCGATATTCCCTATTTTCATGACTTTTTGCGACATTATTACAAATTTCGTATTTAAAGTTCGTAATGGGTACTTAGGCCTATGACAAAAAATATCGTATGCAGGTCCACGTCTTCGTATAGCCCCCATATAACGGTTTTCATTTATCTGGTAGTTTTTTCGGATTTTTTTTTTTTTGAAAATTTTCAAGTTCCTTCCAAATGGTGAAGGATATTAAGAGTTCGGCCAACCGAACTTAATTTATTTTTACTTGTTACAATTACATATAACAAAATATTTGAATGTACCTAGTTTGAAAAAAACGGAGACTAATTTTACGAACTCGATCCAAGTTTGATAATAATCCCCATCGAGAGCTATACCAGCTACTCATGCAGACGGACAGACTTCGCTAGATCGTTTTGTGGTCTATACTAGTTATTCCATTGAGACACATTTTGGACGTATTGAATGATATATAACCTCCGTTGCCATATGGCAGAAGATATAAAAATGGTGAAAATCTTGCAGTCACAGTTCGCAAGGCTTTAGTTTTGAGTCTTTGAGAAAGGCCAGGTTAGACAATAATAAGAAATTGGTAAACAAATCGAGCTCCTGGGTCAAATTAGACAAACAAATGCATGAAAATGAACTGGAAAACCGGAAACGTTTACTTTACACAAGACGGTGTTATGTGATAAAGATGTTTTTTCTTTAAAATAACCAAAATCAAAAACTTTTTTGAAAAAATTACACAATGCGACACGAAAATTATTAATCACCGCAGCATGAAAGATGACCAAAAAGGAGAAGACACATGTCACGCTGTTTCTCCCTATCCCATCGACTTTGCTGTTATGGGCCATCAAAAATGTTGTCTAGATGTAAGGCCCATATCTTGCAAACCGTTTAGAATTTTGATTTTCTGAGATAAGTTGAAAGCTATTGTCATACAGAACGAAATTGTGATCCTAAAAATCCATAAAACTTCAAGGTCAAAATAGTTAGCGTTAAAATTGATTTATATATTTTTCTCGGGTTCTGTGATAAAAACTCAAACAAATTATCAACGGCGTAAATATACCTGAGGTTTCAATAAAAAAAAACTTTTTGGAGCACATGAATTTTTTAAGAAAGCATCTTCCAAAGGGACTAAAAAAATAGACAAAAGAACTATAAACACAAAATCTTTGGAAATTCAACCAAATTTTTGCAATGTTGATTTTTATAGTTAACTCCTCCTCATCTTAGTTTTAATACTATGACGTTTATTTTTCGTCTTTTTAGCAATATCAGTGAAAATTTTTTCCACGAAGCCGAAAGAAACAAAACTAAAGATAATTGATTTGATATAACTGTATTACCCAGCTGCATGTGAAATGCATTACTGAACCCTTTCAGGTTAAATATCGTTTAAAATGGCACGTAGGGTTATTATGGAACATTAGGATCAAATTATAGTGATATTTTTTCGAACTTTACAACGTAAAGTAGCAAATAAATTCAATTAATTCCATGTCATTTGAATACGAAATTTAAATTTAGCCTTGAATTGGATCCAATTACAGTTGCGAAGTATCTACCCTGCCAATTTATGCTGATGTATTGGCATATTCATCAGACATGATGCAATCTTGGGAACAATAAACAAAAGCAGCAACACATGGCACCCAATTTCGGGTAATGTTGGCGAACAAATATAATTATGTTGGCACAGTTGGGTCTAACGAATTGCAAACTAAATATTTAAGATTAATAGAAAAAGGGAGCAATAGCTTTATCTGAACGGATTTTTACCAAATTTAACATACATATTTCGAAGATACGAAGACATATATGGGAGCTATGTATATCTAAATTTTGACCGATTATCTCCAATTCCAAAAGGGTTCGTCTTTGGGTCAAACAAATGATTTGTGCAAAATTTCATCTGGATCGGGCAATAAATGCGACCTGAACATTGTTTATAAAAACAAATGCACAAATACATAATACCTTGACCAACTTGTGGTGTAGGGTATAATCAGATAATGGATTATTAAATCGATGAGTGCAGGTAGAAGTCATGTTACAGTACAAATAAAGAACACCTAAATCGTGAAAAATGTATTCGGCAAATAGATCATGATGGAGTTTTCATTGTAGACGTGGCTTAAAATTCGAATTGCAGACTCGATTGAACATTTCATCAATTGTCCTACAACAGGCAGCTAGCTTTGAATTCCGTTAAGTCCCTAAAAAATCCAGTTTGAAAATTAGGTTTCGTCTGACAAATCTCTATTCCCTCTTACTTTCTGTAAATTGTTTATTCTATTTTATACGTGTAACCTTTACCCAGACCCCTCTGTCTTGCAATAATTAATTAATTAATACACATGCAATTACCGCCCACTTAACAAGGCGACCGATACGTAGCACACAATTGTCATTATCGATCGACACATATCTTGAATAAAATACTTGAAATAATTTCTCAACAGTTTAGTAATTTCAAAAAAAAAAATAAATAAAGAGGTCATCCTTCTGTAGTTGATGCCAATAGCATGTTTTTGGTCATAAAGCAGAGCGAAAAGAATTTTCATTCAATAAAAATGCATTTTGCCACTACGAAGTCCCCCTTTTACTAGAGTGGCCAGCAAGATGTAGTGGGGATGGCTGGTGGGGTCGGGTGCCGGGATTTGAGTGACATCCCAACTAATTGTTGTTATGGTCACTAGAGACACACACACACACACAAAGCAAAACAGAACAAATGCTATCGAATGCAGGTGAAGGGCAATTCGAATTGGGAGAGATGAGATTATGTCAACACTAGTAGATCTAGCAGCAAGTAATGTCACAGAGTAATCTTATGCTAGAACATTTTTCATATTCTATTCTTACGAACCCAAACCATAAAATTTAACAAAATTCAGTTGGAGGAACGTTGTATGGAATTATTCCTGAAATTTAACCGATGTTGAGAATTATTTTTGGGTCAGCTTGTCGACCATTTCTTCCAACTTCGAAGAGATCGACCTGTATGACTAAAATGCTACTCATACCTATGTTAGCCTGCAATTTTTATGAGATTGGAATTGGGTTATATCGGTCCACGATTTCATATAGCCCCATAGAATGGTACCTCCCGATATTCGATATTATTTTGACGACTGTAGCCAATTTTGAAAACGGAATTGTTTGTAATTTAATATTAGAGCTTCTTAGTGGATTTCAATCTATTGGACAGGATGTTGTTTTTACAGGTCCAGGGATTTGTATAGGCCCCATATAAACGTACCTCTTTATAATCGGTAATGTAAAGATTGTAGCCAAATTCTCTACGGTATTAGGCCATACCTTATGGCCACTATTTTTTATTTATTTATTTTTTTTTTTTTTTGAAAAATGTCTCAATCCGTTTTACAATTTCTACCAAAATAATCTTTAATGCAAGGATTTGAAGCAGTCTTTAATCTAAATCTTAAAAGAATCACAGGTATTATTTTTAACTAGACTACGGCAAAGTAATTGTACTTGGGTACATACCCGGTTATTCGACCCAAACATACGCATAAAAAATCCGTGTTTTATCCACGATATCGTATAGTCCCCATAAACCGGTACCCCAGATATTTGGTATTTTGATAATTTGAAACACATTTCTCAATAGATTTGGCTAAAAATCCACACGATGAGTTCGTTCTGAGAACTTAACCTTAAAAGAGAATTGTTTATCCCGACATTCGGTATTTTGATGATTTTAGCCACATTTTTAATTGAAATTGTCTGAAATTCTACACAAGGAGTTCTTCGTAACTACTTTACCCCTGAAAGAGAATTGTCTGTATAGGTCTTCTATAGCCCCTATACAATGATGCTTTTTTATTCGGTATTTTAATGATAACAGCGACATTATTCACCGAAATTGAGTCAAATTTCGTATTTGAATTTCGGAATCGTTATTACAGCCTATGCAAAAAATTACATATCATCACCAAGTCTTTGTATAGCCTCCCTATAAAGGTTTTGATTTGATCGGTATTTCTCGACGGATTTTTTTTTTTTTGAAAATCGGCCGGCCGAACGTTGCTGTATTTTTAATTGTTTGCTCTGCTTTCATAATTCACGGGTATTTCTGGTAATTATGAGAAATGTTTTCTCGGACAGTGTTATTTTTATGTTCAGAATTATTCTGACAAAAAGCACTTTACGGCAGTTGATGTTGATGACTTGTATGCCCCAATAAGAGACAATAAACTCCCAAAACTAAGAGGATGGTCATTTATTTGGCTTGTAACCAAACTAAACAAAGATTTTTGACCCGAAAGTCCGGGTTCAAGACCCGGGCTGGACCCGGAGCCACTAACCCGATATAGTCAAAATAGGTATTGTTTACAAGCTTATGAAAATACCACCAATATCCAAAAAATTTGGAAGTTGTAGTCAAATATATTGTTTAATATTATTTTTTCCATTAACATTAATTAACAACAAACACATGACTGTTTTTTCTTTGCTGCATTTAATTTGATTACTCCTGATTTTAAAAAACCACTTCTTCTAACTGACATGTCTCGTATGCCCCAATTCACAGGTGTTAAGTTTGCCGGAAAGAAGTGTGTTTAATTTATGCTAGGAACACAATTGGAGCGAACGACGAATTTCGCCCTACGCGGCGACAAAATGAGCCGCGAAAATTCGTCGTATGGAACACAATACCGACGAAATTATAAAACAGCTGATGAAGTTGTTTACTTTTTGTTCATTTGTTGACTACAATGAAAATTATACAAGAACTCACAATTCTTTATAATTTCAGTTATGTCCATCTTCTCTATTATAAATTCACTGATATCCATCCTCACTCAGGCGCAAGTGCACAAATAAATAAACAAATTATTTATGTTTTTTTATACGAATAACAGATAGTAGAGTGACCATAACAAATTTTTAAGTAAAAAGTAACTTTATTTACTAAAACACATAAAATTCGTACAAGTATGGCCACCTTGTACTGTTTTGTTCGCCGGTCGCCGGGGTATGAAATAGAAATAAAGCTAATTGAGTTCGCGGCGACCGACGAAATTTTCGCCGCCGCCGTGATTGTGTGCACTTCCATATACACATATGGTTTTTATTTTTGACGACGAACATACGCCGCGAAAAAATTCGTCGTTCGCTCCAATTGTGTTCCTAGCATTAATTGTTTTTATTTTTCATCACTTTTAAGCACTGCTCTTGAAATTGGCAAATGGACAATTATTCTCTTGTATTATTATTTTTTTCACAACAAACAAGTGCCTGTTAATTGCTTTAGTTGTTATTTTTAATATATTTTTATATTTTCTTTCGGTTTAATTGGAAAAGCGCTACATAACCCATTTTAACAGCTGTAGTTGACGTTCAAATTATCACCAAATTGACCACACTGTCTTTGCCGGCATCCAAACAAAACAAACTCTCTCGCTGCTTAAGGCCTCCAAAATTTGTTTCTCTCTATCTTTATTCCCATGCTCATCAATCAATAATAACAAACACATGCTACGCTGCTTTTGATTTGATGCCCAAGAATTGTTCACATTTCGATAACTTATTTATCTTCTTTTGATTATTGCACATCACGCATTTGTTGTTGACCACGTAAACCCCTGCCCTTGCTCCTTCTCAACCAACAACTCTTTCATTGATTGCATTATTTGCTGCACTTACCCCTCTCACACTTCACTGAATACACACAGATAATTTCCTTTGATTGATTCTTTTTTAGGCTTTGCAACAAATTTGATGGGAAGGTTGGTTGGTTGATTCTTTTGGGGGATTTGTTGACATTGAAATTTTAATTGGATTTGTGGCAAAAAAAAAAACAGAATGGAATATAAAAACACCCACTTGCAATTAATGCAACAATATTTGCGAGTTGTGTCGGGATTATTTTTTGTTATGTCGGCTAATTTTGTATTTGGCTTTAAATTCCAAGCACACTTATTTATTTTGCATTCGTTCTTGACATTTAATTTTTGATTTTATTCTTTGTTAAGTAAGAATTTTTTTAAGATTTTCTTCACGCAATTTCTTCACTTGTTTCTATATTTAGTTGAATCATTTATTTATAGCTTCTTGTTTACATATTGCAAATTACATTTTATAACCACCAGTTAACGCACAGCCTGCCAGCCACCGCACAAAAATAAAAGAAAATCGATACCGAACACACCAGGCAAAGCATGTGTGGCAGCAGCCAACCAACGTTTATTTATCTTTGAATGACAATTCGAGTTCTCCTATCACCCATCATCAGCCGCAAATGCAAATTCAACAATTGTTTTTGCAAAAACAAATCGTAATTAGTGAAATCAGTAACATGCGTACGTACCGTTTAAGTACACGTAAATGCAACGTAGATGTGCAAGCATGGCGTAACCAGAAAAGGTGTTAAATTTCGAAGAAAATGGGAAAAATACAGTTACGTTGCCGTCTGTGTCTGAAATGTATACCATAGACAGATCTTCATGCAAAACTAGATGTATTCCCAGCCTTAGGGTTATTACCATAAAACTTAAAACTGTTAAAGAATATGTTGTCGGTGTTCCTGAACTTTGTACCTGTCCATGGAAGAAAGTCTTATATCTCGGCCGAAAGTCTGCTACTTAAAAAAAAAAAATTTTAAGAAAAAGTTCGACCGCGTATTTGCAATTTGTATCTGTCTATAGGAGAAAGTGTAAAAATCCCGGTCGAAGGTTAAGGATTTTTATTCCCTACACCACATAGTGGTAAGGGTATTATGTATTTGTGCATTTGTTTGTAACATGGAGAAGGAAGCGAGACAGACCCATAGTTACTTTTGAGGATCTTCATAGAATCACTTTCTGTGTCGATTTATGAATATCAGTCCGTTCGTTCATGTATGTATTCTTGTGAACAAAATGCAGGTCGTATTTATTATCCGATTGAGAAATTTTCCAAACCTTATTGAAATTGGTTATAATCGAATCAGATTTATATATAGCTCCCATACACCTTTAACCGATTTCATGTTAATTGTGCACCAAATGGCTAATATAAGTCCAAATGACCTGTATTTTGGTGCATCCCACCGAATCCAGTCTAGAAGCAAGTAAATCAAATTTGGAGAAAATCGGTTTAGATATAGCTATAGCTCCCATATATATGTTTCATCCGATTTGGGGTTTTAAGTCCCTCACATTCAAAATATGCATTCCACAACAATGGTCTTTAATACCAGTTATCAGATACAGCCCAGAAATACATCTGTTAAATTTTGTCAAGATCGGTTCAGATTTGGATATAGGTCCCATATATATCTTCACCTGATTTTGGGTTAATTATGAACCAAATGGCCAATATCAGAGCAAAAGTCCTGAAGTTTGGTAATTCCGACCGAATTCAGACTAGAAGCAAGTAACTCTAATGCGGAGAAAATTGGTTCAGATATGGATATAGCTCCTATGTATATGTTTCATCGTATTTTTTTTTTTTTAATTCCCTCACATTCGTAATATGCATTCGACAAAAATTATATTTGGTAGCAGATATCTTATATATATATATATATATATATATATATATATATATATATATATATATATATATATATATATATATATATATATATATATATATATATATAAACTGCAACCAACTACAGACTGCTGTCATTTCTAAGCCACTCGTCCGACAGCTTTTAAAATTATTCTAGTGACAGCTCATTATATTGTTACAAGCGTACAAAAGCATTTTGTAAGAATTTTCCAGAAAAAAAGTTATTTGTGATGGAATTCAAGCCTGATAGTGTGATTTCTTTATATTTGGCTGGAAAACAAAAAGAGCACTCCAGCATTTAAATGTCCCTCCGTCTTTTGTGTCTCTTACCATCACTCGTTACCGTGAGACTGGTAGTGTAGCCCGACGTCAAGGAAGTGGACGGAAGAAAACAGCAACATCAGCAGAAATGGTTCGAAAAGTAAAAAAGTGACTTGATCGAAACCCGCATCGCAGTGGTCGAAAAATGGCTCGTGAGCTGAACATATCGTAATATTCCATTCGGCAAATATTGAAAAAATGAGCTCGGGGTAAAGCCATTGAAATTATTATAAGTGCAAGAACTTACACTACAACAGGAAGAAAATAGACTCAAAAAAGCTAAAGAGTTGTTTCTCTTGGCCGAAAGTGGTGAACTGCCGAATTTGGTTTTCTCCGATGAGAAAACATTCGTTTTCCAGCAGTTTGTAAACAAACAAAATTATCGTGTTTACTTGCCACAGAGGTCAGCTAAAAATGTGCACCACAACTCAAGCGCCGGCCAGGGTAATGGTGTGGGCCGTCATAACAGCCAATGGTCGCTCTCCGCTCGTATTAATCGACTGTGGCATCAGAATAAATGTCGAATGTTATAGCGAAAATATTCTGGAGGGTGTATTCATCTTCATTTCCAGCGAACAATGGCCACCAAATTTTCCGGATACCATTGTGTCTGGAGTATTTTGGAAAGCAAGGTTGGCACTAAAAAACACCAAAGTGTCGATCACCTCAAGCAAACGCTTTATTCCAAAATTTGAAGCTATTTCCGACATTTTTTGCTCTCATTCAATAAAATGTAGAAAAAATGTAAAAATTATGGCGTTTGACTTTGTTGCAGTGTTTTTTATCTCAGCTAAATACGGGAGCTAAATCTTAACCGATCTTGATACAATTTGGCAGGGGTATTTCTGGATTGCATCTGATATCTGGTACCAAATATCATTGTTGTCGAATGTACATTACGGATTGAGGGACTTAAACGCCAAATCAGATGAAAGATATGCAGGGGAGCTATAGCTATATCTAAGCTGATTTTAACCAAATTTGATGTACTCGTTTCTAGGCTGAATTTGATTGGATGTGCCAAAATTTAGGTCATTTCGACTTAAATTGGCCATTTGGGCGCACAATTAACCCGAAATCGGTTGAAGATATGTAGGAGCTATATCTAAATCTGATCCGACTATTACCAATTTTAATAGGGTTTGTCCTTGGGTCAAAAAGAAAAAATTCATCTCAATCGGATAATAAATGCGACCTGCATTTTGTTTACGAAAACATATGGACAGACTGACTGACATGCTTAAATCGACTCAGAAAGTGATTCTATGAAGATCCACAAAAGTAACTATGGGCCTATCTCGCTTTCTTCCCCAAGTTACAGAAATGCACAAAGATATAATACCCTTACCACTATTGGTCTGTCCCTGAACTGCAAGAATGTAAAAGTTTTTACCACTATAACCGATTTTCGCTCTATGATATTCAAAAAATAGCAAACCTAAGGTAAGAAATGAATATTTTTTTTTAATTATTTACAGTTTCATGCCATTAATTTTCTGAAACTACTTTAATTTCATGAAATATTTTTCCATTGAATTACTCATGATCCAAGTATAAGGTCAAGCTGATTACCAGACGATCTGTCAATTAAATTTGAATTCGCTGCAACAAAAACAAACTTCAAAACGATGGTAGAAGAATACAGGTAGTCGCATTGCATAGCTGCTGGGGCAATGAACTGTCAAAGGAATTTTTAAGTTAAAAATTTAAAATGAAAAATTATTCAAAAAATTATTGCAATGCTTGGGAACATTGATATGTCAAAATTGTTAAAATGTTTTGTCAAAAATAAGTAGATTTTTATACGTTTTCTAATACGACGCAAATTGGAGGTTGTTATGACATGCAATTTTTACAAATATCAACAATTTTTCGTTTAACATTTTTAATTTCAAATTCGGTTTAACGGTTCATTGTCCCAGCAGCTGCGTCGATGCGTCTACCTGTATTTTTCTACCATGTGTTATACATACAAAAAATGACAACAAACATATTCGCCAAAAAATTCGTCTGTCAAGGCGAAAATATTTATTTTCGCCTCAAGCATGAATTTTGACATTTCATCTGGTAAAATAACAACTGTTTTTAGATTAATTCGCTCGAAGGAAGACCTTATAATTGGGCCATGGAATTACTCGTATGCAGGCCAAGAGGTTAATTTTGAAAATACAACGTAATGCTAGGAACACAATTGGAGCGAACGACGAATTTTTTCGCGGCGTATGTTCGTCGTCAAAAATAAAAACCATATGTGTATATGGAAGTGCACACAATCACGGCGACGGCGAAAATTTCGTCGGTCGCCGCGAACTCAATTAGCTTTATTTCTATTTCATACGCCGGCGAACGGCGACAAAACAGTACAAGGTGGCCATACTTGTACGAATTTTATGTGTTTTAGTAAATAAAGTTACTTTTTACTTAAAAATTTGTTATGGTCACTCTACTATCTGTTATTCGTATAAAAAAAACATAAATAATTTGTTTATTTATTTGTGCACTTGCGCCTGAGTGAAGATGGATATCAGTGAATTTATAATAGAGAAGATGGACATAACTGAAATTATAAAGAATTATGAGTTCTTGTATAATTTTCATTGTAGTCAACAAATGAGCAAAAAGTAAACAACTTCATCAGCTGTTTTATAATTTCGTCGGTATTGTGTTCCATACGACGAATTTTCGCGGCTCATTTTGTCGCCGCGTAGGGCGAAATTCGTCGTTCGCTCCAATTGTGTTCCTAGCATAAATCGTAATTGTTCAACGTTTACGTTCCTTACGTTACTATTATATACTTTGCACTCCGTCACCCACTAACCAACCATTTTAAAAATAACGCCAAATTGACAGCACTGACAATTGAAACAAATCTCATTCTCACTCTCTCTCTCTCTCTCTCTCTCTCCCTGAAGGGGTAAAATAGAAAACAAACATAAACAAAGAGCTGCATTTGCAAGAAATTTAATTATTTTATTTGTTGTAAATCGGCGATAGAGTAACAAACTGCAGCGGATAGTTTTTTTATTTCTTATCGCATCGCGGGGCCAGGATAAGAAATGTCTAAAGTTTATTTGATACCAGTTGCTGTTTTTCTAATATTTCAAGTTACGTTTCTGGGAACGTAAGTTTTGTTGTTTTCCGCAAAGGAGAAAGATGATTGACTTTTTTGCGTTGTGGTTTTTTGTTGTTGTTTTTTAATGGATACTGAAAAATTAGTAAATTGTTGTTAACATATTTTTCGGTTCTTTTTTTTGCAGTTACATAGCGGCAGTAGTGCAAGGTCATGTTGTCCCCACCGTACCCTATATCAGTGATGCAGCCACCTATTCACCGGAGAGTTGTGTATTTGGACAAATGATAAATATTGGCAGTGTATTATGTGAGTATGCGGGTGGAGTGGGATTCCCCTCGAAAGTTTTATGGTGTCATGATTCATTAACAACTAATCGTGAAAATATTGTTTTTTTTTCAGTGGGCATTACAATCTACATACGTTATCGCCAAATATTACAACTCTTTGAACACCATCCTGATTTGGGCAACAATTTGTTACGCTACAATCGTATAGCGGTGTGGTTTGGTTTTATCTCATGCCTGGGCATTAGCATTGTGGGCAACTTCCAGGAGACCAATGTACGGGTGGTCCATTTCATTGGTGCATTCTGTTGCTTCGGCTTTGGCACCCTATACTTTTGGATGCAGGCATTGATTTCGTACATGATCTATCCAATAGCCGGCACCAAGCCAAATGCCCATTTGAGATTGGGTATGTCAGTGTGTTGTACAATTCTATTTATACTGCTGGCCGTTACCGGCATTATGTCGCATATTCTCTTCAAAGGCTCAAATCCCAGAAAGTGGTAAGTTCAAATGAATTGTATTTTTGTTTAATACATTTTAAAAAAATATATTGAATTTATTTCCCAAACAAAAGGTATCCCTCGGATGGCGGTTGGTATTTCCATGTCATCAGCTCGATCTCAGAATGGGTTATTGCTACTGTGTTTAGTTTTTACATTTTATCATTTACCCATGAATTCCGAGATGTTGATTTAGAGCATCCACCATTACGTATTATTTCGTATTCTCTAACCTTACAATAAGTTCCGATATTTTTAATTTTGCTCTCTTTATGCATTTTTTTTTAAATTGGTATACATTGGCTTTGAAGCTCCTCTATCCCATAAAGTAATTATTAAATTTTGGTTTAGTCGTCTAAACACAAACCAGGAGATCCTTGTGGTCCCCGATTAATTTTCGATTTTTGTACAGTTTTAACTGAATTTATGGCTGCCAAATATGTTACCTGACTTTTGTTTGCTGTGACGGAAATTTGTCTAAAATGGTATTACCTATTTTAATTTCCTTTTCCAAATTTCTACTAACATTAGAAAGCCCTTGAAAATTGCTTCCAACAAAATACTGGTGCTTCTAAGCGAAAGTTAAACTTTAGTCATATTCATATTATCGTTTTCCTCATTTTATTGATCTGTATAAACTGGCTTTTATTTATAAAAGTTTAATATAAGTCATATTAAGTTATTAATTTTTAACACTGTTTATAATTTGTATACAACAATAACCCAAAGGAATTTATTTTTTTAAATAATAAATATTATAAACGAAACTACATCGAAATTCAATGATGGACTTAAAACACTTGGCCTCTATTGGATATTGAAAAGGAAATCCATAGTTTGACATATTTGCATTTAAAGTTATTCATTATTTTATGGTCGTCCAATAATTGTATCCAACACTAGTTTGACGGCACGGAATTCCACCGCAGTCTCCCGAATGTTGCTTTTCCAACTCCGGATTGTGTATCGTTTGTGCAATTTAATTGCAACGGACTCCGAGGCAAATTAGACGAGATAGAGGAATGAATTGGAGGAATATTTTAATAGTATTGATAGGGGACACCAAGCTAAATGATAATTGCAACCACAATCCCACGGCAGCGCGTTCTACGGCAGCGGATTGACCCGAAGCAACAACATTCCAGTTTTGGCCAGCGGCTGCCAACCCAGTATGTACCCGTTTGTGTTCGACTATTTTTCTGCTTTGGGGGCAGCATATCCCAGAATGCTGGCTCCGGATTTTGTTGGTCCGTGCTGGGATTGAGGAAAACCCCGGACCTTGATTCTGCTCTGCGTGTCACAACGACATCCACCACAGATCTGTTTCGGCGCGGTGTAATGGATGTAGAGAATGGGTGCACTTTAAGAACTGTTCCGGACTAAGGCGTTTGTGAGACTACAGCGAAAGGGATTATGTTGCCACATGCTGCAGTAGCGTTGTCCCCAGCGAGTCCACTTCGTAGTCGCCCTCTCAGAGGCGTCGTCTGAGTATGAAACTCCATCGCAGTCTCCAGAACAGCAACCAACACCGCAGCTTCTTACGCCACATGTAGCCGTTTCAACTCTATATTTTTCATCGTGCTTGCAAGTTAATTGCAACGGACTCCGAAACAAAATAGATGAGATAGTGGAATGAATCGGAGGAATATTTTAATCATAGCCAAGCTGTATGAAAATTGCAGCCTACAACGTTGTTATGGTTACAACGTACCGAGGAAGGATCGCACCAGAAGTGTAGGTGGGGATTATCGTTTCTGTTACACCATTATATTCAATACAGGCCTATATCGCTTGATCTAACCTCTGGTGGCCCATACGTGGAATGTTTGAGGCAGCAGTCAGGCGTGGATCTACCGAGTTAGAAGTACTTAGTGCGTATATCCCGCCGATTTATAGCTGTACATCACGTTATTTGCCCGCTATTGGTAGGAAATAACCACCTGGTACAGGGGGATTTTAATGCCCACCATGAGCTCTCGCGTTCCGTCCTAGGGGATGGATCACTGGTCAGAATTCAGAGATTTCACCAACCTTCTCTTCAGAGAACTGCCCAAACCTTCTGATACTCGTTACAGAAACAATTTTCCGAGGCATCGTCAAAGCTGCAGTCGTTCCAGCCCTTCTGATCTCAGGATCAGCGAATTGACAGTTGAACTCAGTTGTAGCATCATAAGAGAAAAAGGGGCTAGACCATCCGAAGTTTTGCAACATTGGAAGCGATGGATAACGGTTTAAGCGCCCTCGAACCCTGAGATAAAGGATGGTAGAATATCAGTGGCATTTTAATTGACAATTTTTCAAGCAAGCCAGAGCGATTCGAAAATTACTACGTCGCATCTTTCCGTCGAGGAAATACCAACACAATTTACAATGGGTATAGTTGCGAATGTCTTCCGAAACGATAAGTCAGGGTAATCTTGAAACCGAGAATCAAGTATCTCACTAAAGTCCTCAACCTGTCGTTAACCACTCACATAGTTTTCGAAGCTTGAAAATGGGCAGCGATGTCCTGCTACTATAGCTATGCAAGGATACCAGCAAAGACGAATTATACAGACTCATTTCGATGTTGCCGCCTGTAGCGAAGACTTGAAGCTTTACTCCACTCCATCAATAGAGGAAGCTATGCAGTTGCCGACCATGAATATGGATTCTATTTACAACAGCGTTTCACGCCATATCAACACATATCATTTGAGGACTCATCCTGAACTAGCCGTATCATAGAACAGTGTTAGTAGTCTTTGATCAATCAAAGGCTTTTGATACTGTCAATCTCGCCACACTGTTAAAGGAGTGCAACCTACCGGCTAAGTTTGAAACATTGGATATTCTACTACATCTGTGGGCGACAGTATGCTTAGCGCAATTCTGAAACTAGACCTACTAAGTGATAGAAGGGTTTAACGACCAGATGGTTCTTAGATATCATGCAAACGGTTTCTAAGTGCCCTTTTCCAGCTTCTTCGATGAGAGACTTTTAAAGCTGTTGACATAATAGCTTATTGGTAGATAATCAACTGAAATCTTCGTCTGAAAAAAGGCTTCAGATATTTCAGGTATTGTAACGTCACATGGTCACCAAACATTTGGCAATTTATACGTTAGTTTCTCTTTCGAAGCGAATTTAATGATCTGAAACTTGCAATGGATTTAATCCAACCATTGACAAAATCATTCAATTTTGCACGGATCTACATAGCCAGTTTTCTTAATTTTGATCGTTCTATTATATACTCCATTATATTTTGAACGCGACTTGTTTACTTCATAATTGTGGAAATCAGCTTAAAAGGCGCGAGGTCGACTGATTTTCTAAAAAAATTTTATGTCATTAAATGCGATGCAAATTTAGTTGTTTAATTAATTTTTATTACATACACATATTGTCATTAAAAATCGTCATAGAGTACATTAGTCACGTCGTTAAATTCACCTCATAGTTCCGTCTTCGAACTTTAGAGACGAATTTTATCCCAATACAAGCTAAACAAATAAAGACCAGCACTAATTAAACTGAAATTCACCAAAGACGTCAATGCCGGGCTGATCGTAGCGGCACCATTACCATCATTTCCACCACCACCATTCTCCGTTCGTCCCAAATCCAATTGACTTGACAGCTCTTCGGGTACATCTAAGTATACACGATCAAAGCCAAATGAAAAAATCAATTCTCGTAGCTTGGCAACATCAACGTAATCATTTTGAGATGACCATATGGTCAGAGTGCTGTTATTCGTGCCATTGACAGCTTTTACTAAATCGTGCAATTCTTCCTGGCTATTGGCAGCAATGCCAGCCCTTACCGGAAATGTTATTGGCTGTCCAGTTTCGGTGACATTATTGGTTTTAATGGCCACCACCATGGCATCTATTTCTTGGGGCGTATACGAGCCGTTATTGTAATCCGAAGACCACCGTGTTGTCCAACCAATCGATAGCACGGCTTGAGGGAATTGTGATGAGCCAGCAAAGAAACGTTGCGGATCAACGGGTATGGTATTGTTTTGATTTACCGGACCACTTATAATATCGGCATTCAGCCATATGGGGTAAGTCATCTGAGGGGAAGAAAGATGAGCATGAATTGGGAATAAGAAAGAGTGTTGTTTGTAAATTGTGTTACTCACCTCGGGTATTTTGGCCTCCAGGGTCTTTAAAGCTCCTTCGAACACCTCAATCGATTTAAAGTCTAACTTCACTCCCTTCATTTTCTCTGCATTTTCATCATTGTATATTTTGATTTGCTGTAGAAATGAATCAAGGGATATATCGGAACTATTTGCTGGTGGATGAGCCATCACTGGCATATCCGGGCCGGTATTATTAATCTTGCCCATAACAATATCAGCCTCAATCATATCAATGTCACCTAAAATATGGGGAAAGTAAATTTAATTATGAATTTATATCGCCTACTTAAAGAAAAGAATATGAAGTTAGAAAAAAATAAGTTTATTTTTACTTTTGATGACCAAGTTAGAACCCACTGAAGATCTGGCAGGCATACGTCTTTCTACGAGTTAGTCCATTGTTATTCAATTTAAAGTTCAATTTGAATTTATTCCAATGTTCATTTTAATTTTGTCTATAAATCGACCAATTGATATTGGAGACGGGTTGGCCATGTCCTTGGGTCAAGAGGGTTTGATGATATTATACGGGTGGGTGGACAATATGGGTATAATGCATAGCAGTATTTTTTTTATTCACTTCATCGAATGGGGGTGAATAGGTCGAAGAGAGTCTTACGTGAAATTAAGCTGATGAATCAATCAATCCTCCAGCGGCAAGAGGCAATCGAGAGAATCGAACCAAGGAGTCAACATCTAACAAAATCAAGCACGTAAAAAAGAACTTGAAGGTAGTTCACAAATTCGAAGAAATCTTAAAAGTGTCGCCCCATGTCTGCTGCCGACGAAGAGATCTGCCCATATAGGGGTGGTAAGGTCTTGTGTCGATAAAACCGATTATTCCATTCTCCAACGGCAAGACACAAGCTCTGTTGGGTTCCTGGTCACTGCAATATTCCAGGCAACGAGACTGCAGAAAATGGATAGGCTAGGGTCCGAATCAGGTATCATTGAAGTTGAGAACTCGGTCGAACCACCTCTGTGCCACTTTCTACAGCTAATTCATAGACACTACTCTGAGAGAATTCCAAAAGAATCTGGCCCACACTTTCGGAGGAGAGAACAAAGTCGATACTGTCCTTGTCGAAACCTGATTTTAAGCTTGTGGTGGGTATCATCACAGTTCACTGCAAGGTGAGGGCAATGACCTCGAAATGGGACAGCGACGATATTGAATACTGTAGAATCTGTCAAGAAAAAGAAAAAAAAAATGAGGCGATCGAACATTTACTCTGCCACTATCCAGCACTCATTACCGTGAGACACAGGTTGGTGGGAGAACCAAGGGTCACATGATTTGTCTTCATTCTCTAACACTGATCCTATAGTAATTCTTCAATTAGGAAGAAGACTTAAGTGGCTAAAGATGACACGGCAAGATTTTTAGCCGCGGATCTCACGTCTTTTAACGTAACTTAGGTTATCTAAGACAAAGGGTGCATATCATTACCGTCTCCGATAGAGACGGACTCAGGGACTGAATCTCTTAAGGGAACTCTCCAGAAGGAGATCTATGAGTCAATCTTCCAACAGGAGCGATTAAGAACACTCCGAGCCTATAAGAGTTCGTTAAAAAATCCACGCAAATAAGGGAGAGAGAAACCTCGTCGCAATAGAGAATTCGAAAATAGTCACCTGAAACTATTCAAGAGTTTTTCAGATTTTGAAAAGAGAGAAAGGCTCTGCCACCGACATTGAGAAAAAAAAACTTTCCGACTCTGGCAGATAATACCAACTTCGAAGTCACTCACTGGGACCACTGAAAAAACCGCTACTCCCAAAAACTCAGAGCAAAGAGAAATGACTTAAGAGTTGATCTCTACCATGGTACTTAATGGTTTCAAACATCCTTCCAGTAATGCTTTCAACTAATAGACCATTGTAGGTCCACGTTTTGGTATAGCCCCGATGTAAGGACACCTCCCGATATTCAGTATTTTGATGATTTTAGCGACATTATTCACCCGAATTGTTTCAAATTTGGTATTTGAAGTTCGTAATGGATACTCTAGCCTATGACAGAAAATTGTCCGTGGAGGTCCACGTCTTTGTATAGCCCCCATATAACAGCACCTCCCGATATTCGGTATTTTGATGATTTTAGCGACATTATTAATCGGAATTGTTTCAAATTTGGTATTTGAAGTTCGTAATGGATACTACAGCCTAAGACAGAAAACTGTCTGTGCAGGTCCACGTCTTCGTATAGCTCCCATATAACGGCACCTCCCGATATTCGCTATTACGATGATTTTACTTACATTATTAACCGATTTTTTTAAGTTTCGTATTTAAATATTGTAATAGCTTACGGCAAAACTTGCCTATGCAGATCGTCGTCGTATAACGGCTTTATTCAGTATTTTTAAGATTTTAACGGAATTTTTAAATATTTTTTTTTTTGGAAAACTGCCAAATTCGTTCTATACGATGGAGGGTATTCAAAGTTCGGCCCGACCGAACTTACAGTTTTTTTACTTGTTATTAAACCAAAGTCTGGTGTGAAGATCGGTTCACTCCTTCTCGTACCTCCCCCACAAAGGTTCAAAATTTTGAGTATCCATGAAGCTCAAAAAACGGGAAAAGCGAATTGGTTAATATTGGCCAACTGCTTCGGAAGCTCCCCCATAAGGGGTCAGCAGTTTGAATAACCATTACACAAGGCTGGGGGCATACAACTGCCGGTAAAACTGACTGATACAATTGTACTTGTTATATTTGACTTTGATACCATTCTGCATGTGTAGCCAATTGAAGTCCACTTTTCAATTCAAAGAATGCGTCATTAATCAATACTTCAACATATTACACTTTTATAGTTTTCACTATTTTAGAATTTTCGACACATTCTCGCTTATCTTTTTTTTACTTACTTTGCAACGCATCCGTTAGCTCCTTTTGGCTATTGACAGCATGAGCCCAGGTTAAAGCTGTAAGATTTGTTGCACTTTCGCCGCTCCTTGTCGACATGTTGAGATGTGTCGCAATGTCCTTTCCAGCTGCACCCAAACGACTGGCGGTGGCCGCCTTACCATCGATTGTGTATTCATAACGTGAGACATTCGATGCCTCAGCTGTTTCATTGACTAATTTTGGAAATTGGACGGTGGTAGCAGCATTGAGAGAATGCAATAATGCTGAAAAAAGAGAGGTAGAAAACATAAAACGTGGATGTTATATTCTGTTTGTGTGTGGGTAAAGATTTTATTAAATTATATCCCATACAAGTGACTAGGCGAATTGGCATAAAATCGACAAGGTGCAGATGACCGCAAATATCGTTGGTTGCAATGCAAAGGGACCCAAGTCACTTGACCTTTAACTTGAAACAATTTACAAAGAAATATTTCTTATTAGGGTTTTAAAGAATAAAAGCTGTAGAAAGGTTATTGTACGCCTGCGGGATGTTAATTAGCGTTTTGAAAGAATTTTTCTTCTGTCTCATGAATATTTTTACTGCTTCCCATTAGCTTTCAAACCCATACCCATGTTATTCTATTCGGCCGAATTATCTTTCAGATCAGCAAATAGTGGGTATTTTTGCATTTAAAAGTTCTCTTATTCCTTTCAAATAAAAAAAATTGTTCCTTCATTTTTGCGATTCCAGGACTCTAGCTACAGAGTTGCTTTTTTAATTTCAATCAGTTTTCCGTACTTTGTAATGAATACATCATGCATTTAAAGAGACTGATATCTATATATCTGACTATTATACCTAAAGAGAGCTAACATTATTTTACGTATTGGATAAGACAATTTCCGATATTTTATGCTTTAAGGTGTGGATACTTCGCATGACTTATATTGAGACATATCATAAAGGAATGCCAGAATCGCACTCGAATCCTGCCGTCGTCTCCACTTATAATTTGGCATTATTATGCCTAGCCATTATTCCAAGCTGCATATGTGCCTTCACTTTTTCCAAGCATATTAGTTTTGGACTAGCCGTTTATGGCTCTCAGAAGACATAAACTATCACAACAGAGCATTTTCAAGAAAAGTTCACTATTTAAAATGTGTGGGCACCTCCCGATATTCGGGTTTTCGAAGATTTTTAGCCACAATTTTCAACCGAATCGGGTGTTCTTATTGTACTTAAGGTTCTTATTTGCACGAACGTTAATCTTACGAACATTTTTTTAATATTTGTCCACGTTTTGGCATAACCTTGGGGATTGTAGGGCTATTTAAGGTCTTGGTAGCATTTTGAAACAGTAGTGGATGTTATTTTGATATTTTTTTTTCTTGAAAAGAAAACAACATACGTATGGTCATTTTAAAGGTCCATACCACCGAATCGATAAAAGTGTTCCTCCAAATATAAGTGTTTCCAATAAGAGGTGTTATTTTGACATTTGAATAAAAAATATTTTTTTGAGAAAAAGGATCGTAGTAGGTAAAATAGCCGTATCAGTATCGGGATAGAGTTTTTCATAAGCTTACCAATGACATATATATATATTAATATATATGTCAAATTTGCCGGTACTCAAGCATGTTATAAAATTATTAATTCGGCAGGGCCGAACTTTTAATATCCTGCACCATTTGGAAGAACCTTGAAAAGTTTCAAAAAAATCCCCCGAAAAATACGGCTTAAATGAAAACCGTTATAGAGGAGCTATACGAACACGTGGGCTTACGTATGTAATTTTCAGCCATAGGCTGTAGTACCGATTCCATCAAAATACAAAAAATATCGGGATGTACCGTTATATGGGGCTATGCGAAGACGTGGACGTGCATACGCATAGGCTGTAGTATCCTCTAAGATCTTCGAGTACGAAATTGGAAAAAATTCCGACCAATAATATCGCCGAAATCATTAAAATACCGAATAAAGGGAGGCGCCGTTATATGTAGACTATCTTGTCATAGGTTGCAGTGCCGATTCCGAACTTAAAATACGAAATTTGAAACAATTCCGGTTAAAATGTCGCTAAAATAATCAAACTACCGAATATTAGGAAATATCATTGTATGAGGGCTATTCGAAAACGTGGACCGGTATGGCCCATTTACGAACTAAACCTGCTTACTGACAGGCAGACATCGCTAAATCGACTTAAAATTTTACGCTGACCCCGTATTTTGGTTCAGATATAGCAACAGCTCTCATATATATGTTTCATCTGATTTGGAGTTTTAAGTCCCTCACATGCGTAATATGCATTCGACAACAATGATCTTTGGTAGCAGATATCAGATACAGCTTAGAAATAAGTGCCTTAAGTTTTATCGAGATCGGAAAAGATTTGGAAATAGCTCCCATATATATCTGTATCCGATATCAGGTTTATTGTGCACCAAATGGCTAATATCAGCTCAAATGGACTGAATCTTGGCTCATTCGTCCTAAAAATAAGTGCTTCAAATTTGGTGAAAATTGGTTCATCCGATTTGGAGTTTTAAATCCCTCACATTCGTAATATGCAATCGAAAACAAAGATATTTGATACCAAATATCAGATACAGCCCAGATATACCTCTGTTGAATTTCATCAAGATCGGTCCGGTTTTGGATATAGCTCCCATATATATCTTCAACCGATTTCGGGTTAATTGTCCACCAAATGGCCAATATCAGTCCAAATGACTTGAATTTTGCACCATCCCACCGAATACAGCCTAGAAGCAAGTACATCAAATTTGGTAAAAACTGGTTCATATTTAGCTATAGCTCCCATATATAAGTTTCATCCGATTTTGTGTTTAAGTCCCACACATTCGTAATATAAACTCCACTAGAATGATATTTGGTATCAGATCACATTCGTTATATGCATTTGGCAACAATGATATTTGTTACCGTATATCGTATGGAAATACCTCTGCGAAATGTTATCGAGATCTGTTGAGATTTTTATGTACCTTCGATACACATATTTATCAGTTTCTAAGGTTATTGTGAACCATATATGTAATATCAGCCCAAATCTGATAGATTTCTTCATATTCAACCGCATTTTTTTTATATTTGGTGAAACTCGGTCAAGTATTTCTATTTCTCCAAAAAATATTTTTTAAATATAATTCTTATCGAAGTTATGCCATGTTTATGTTAGAGCTTTTTGTAGGGTTAACCTACTTCAAGAGGATTTATTTGAAGTATAAGAAATATATAAAAGTACGTTATATGTAAACGTACTGTTATATTACGCATCCTGAACAAAAGCCTACGTCAAATTTGTTGAAAATCGATCCAGAGTTGAATATAGTTCCCAAATTGTGACTACTCTAAAGCGATGATATGCATTTAAATAAGGTTCATAGTTGGTAGGATCTACTTCACATAAATTCCTAATATAACCTTTTTTGTTACGGGAGCTCTACTAAATAGTGGTGTAGGGTATCATATAGTCTGGCCCGCCCGACTTTTGGTCTTTCCTTACTGTTTTTTGTTTGTGTCGAATTTAGTGTAAATAGATCAAAATATAATTAAAGAATAAAATAAAGATCATAGTTGGCATGGTATGGTTTACTTCAAATTTTTATAATTCATTTGTTACTTTTAGCTTTACTAAATAGAATTAGAGTGTAGGGTATTTAATAGTCAACCCCGACTGAGTTTTGACCTTTCATTACTGGTTTTGGCAATGGATTGGGGATACTTACGTGGAAAACCATTTAATGGCTTGAGCCGCAACATTTCAGAGGTGTCGTCGAATTTTGATTTCATTAGAAAATTATAGGTAAGTTTTTAGTAGAATATACGAAATTTAAAATTGATTTAAATGAAAACTTGACACGTCAGATTTGGACTTGGGACGAACGTCATACACAGAAATCAATTATACATCACTATTCACTTTCTTTTGTTCCTCACTGTAATGCCAGCCAGTTGTCGTCAGTCATGCCCCATGACAATGGTTATTATTGCCTTTTGGCTGACATTTTCTCCACACGTCTTTGAATGGACTTTTCAGCAACAATTTCCAAAACTCTGGTGCTCTTTATACCGTAATCAATTATTTCATTTAATATGTTTTTAATAATATCGTCTTCAATTATTACTAATTTTTTGCCTGATTTCACTTGAGTTCATTGTGAACTTGAAAAAATAGAAAACACATCACTACTCTGTGAAATACACACCAAAACAATGAATACAGTAACTAAAGAAAGACTGTGTGTAATGCTTTTTGTTTTGTTTTCTATTTCCTTCGTTGTTGTTTCTATTGCCATTCGAGCCCCCATCGTAAGTAGCAGTTTTATTTAAAAACTTATAAGAGAGATGGTAGACGTTTTGCTCTCATTTACCCACGAGAAAGCACTATAGTGTTTATTCAGTGATGTCAATCCGCAATTATAAAAATACGTACTCACTATTGTCACACTTAAAATATCAATTAAATTGACACATTAAAACAATTATTTTAGAAACAAGAAAGGATTGGTTTTCTTGATCAGCGAATCCCTGTTCGTCGCTCAGTTTTAATAACAACAAAAACCAAACGAATCGAGATAAGAAGTCCCTATAAAAAAGGAAGCATTTGAGTTTTATTGATGTTTTTGTGCAAAATTTTCCAAAAAATTGGAAACATTAGTGCATGTTGGGTTTGGTCGCAATTAATTAATAACGCCCGATTTTTCTACGAAATTTATTTTAATTCGATATTTGGGATAGTGAATGTTATCCTATTAAAAAAACCAGTAAGGAAAGGACAAAACTCGGGCGGGGCCGACTGTATGATACCCTACACTACCATGCGTATTTAGTAGAGCTCCCGAAGCAAATAAAGTTCATATTGGGTTTTTATATGAATTAGATCATACCAACTATGAACCAAATTACATTGCTGTATAGTGCAAGGTATGGCATCAATAAGGATTATATTAAAAACTATTTATTGGAGCCGGACCGAGTTTCACTAAATGCAAAAATTCGGTTGAATATGAAAAAATCTATTCAATTTGGGCTAATATAACATATACGGTAAGCAATTGCCCTAGAATCGAATGAAGATGTATATCGAAGCTATATAAAAATCTGAACCGATCTCGATAAAATTTGGCGGAGGTATTTCCGAGCTGTATCTGATGTCCGATATCAAATATCATATTACGCATGTGGGATATTTTAACACAAAAATCGGATGAAACATATACAGGGCGAGACTACTGATATTTCTAAGCCACTCGTCCGACAGCTGTTAAAATTATTCCAGTGACAAAAGCATTTTGGTGAGAATTTTCCAGAAAAAAAGTTATTCGTGATGGAGTTGAAGCTTGATTTATTTATATTTCTTTATGGCTGGAAAACCACAAGTGGCTATCGTTAGAGTACTCCAGCATTTAAATGTGAATAAATCTTTTGTGTCTCATACCATCGCACGTTACAGTGTTACTTGTAGCGTAGCCCGACGTCGAGGAAGTGGACGGAAGAAAACAGCAACATCAGCAGAAATGTTTCGAAAAGTAAAGAAGCGATTTGATCGAAACCCACGTCGCAGTGGCCCAAAAATGGCTCGTGAGCTGAATCTATCGCAATATTCCATTATGCAAATATTGAAAAAAGAGCTGATGGTAGAACATCGCAACAGAAAGAAAATAGACTCAAAAGAGCTAAAACGTTGCTTCGCTTGGTCGAAAGTTGTGAAATGCTGAATTTGGTTTTCAACGATGAGAAAACATTCGTTGTCCAGCAGTTTGTAGACAAACAAAATGATCGTGTTTACTTGCCAAAGAGGCCAGCTGAAAATGTGCACCTTCGGTTCATTTGGACTGATATTAGCTATTTGGTGTACAATGAACCTTTTATCGGATATCGGATCTATATGGGAGCTATATCCAAATCTGAACCGATATTGACAAAATTTGAAACATTTATTTCTGAGCTGTATCTGACGTCCGGTATCAAATATCATTGTTGTGGAGTGCATATTAGGTATGTGAGGGACATTAACACCGAATCGGATGAAACATATGTATGGGAGCTATATATATTTCGGAAACTATTTTCACCAAACTTGACGTACATACTTCTAGAGTAAATTCGGTCGGATGTGCCAAAATGCGGGGCATTGGGACTGATAATGGTCATTTGGTGTACAATAAGCCTGGTGTACAATAAGCCTTTATCCAAATCTGAACCGATATTGAGAAAATTAGATACACTTATTTCTAAACTGATATCAGGAACCAACGATTTTTGTTGTGGAGTGCATAATACGCATGTGAGTGCATAATACGCATGTGAGGAACTTTAAAACCAAATCAGATGAAATATAAATATTGGAGCTTTATGTATATCTCTACCAAACTTGATGTTCTTGTTTAAAGGATAAATTTAGTACAAATTCCCAAAATTCAGTCCATTTTGGGCTGATATTAGCCATTTGGTGCACAATGAACCTAGTATATATGGGAGTATATGGGAGCTATATCCCAATCTGATCCGGTCTCGATAAAATTTCACAGAGGTATTTGTGGTCTATATCTGATCTCTGGTACTGAATATTATTTTTGCGAAGTGCATATTACGCATGTGTGACACTTAAACACCAAATCGGATGAAACATATATATGGGAGCTATAGCTATATTTGAACCGATTTTCACAAAATTTTGAAGTACTTACTTCTAGACTGAATTCCATAGAAGGTTTCAAAATTCAGTTCATTTTTACTGATATTGGCCATTTGGTGTACAATAAACCCGAATTCGGTTAAAGATATATATGGGAGCTATATCTAAACTTGGACCGATTCTCACCAATTTCAATAGGGTTCGTCGCCAAACAAATATTGTTTCGAAAATTTCATCTCAATCGGCTAATAAATGGGATCTGCATTTTGTTCACAAAAATACATGAACTGACGGAATGACATGCATAAATCGACTAAGAAAGTGATTCTATGGAAAAGTAACTATGAGTCTACCTCGCTTCCTTCTCAAGGTTACAAATAAATGCACAAAAATTTAATACCCTTACCACTACGTGTTTTAGGGTACAAAAACGCCTATTTGGCATCATTGCCGACAACGCATTATTTTTAAATGGGGGTTGTACTTGTTGTTACTAATATGTGTGCCCTTTGTATACAATCGTCGCAGGAAACACGTGAGCATTGTTTTTGGAAGAGAGAGAGGGAGAGACGATGGTTATAGTTCTGATGTCTGCTTGGAAAGTAAACAAAGCAGTATATTACACGTGTAATGTAAACAAGATATTTTTAGAATAACGTACAAAATGACCTAAGTCCATTAAAAAGAAAAATCAAAATCGATTTCAATTTCGTCTGTTGTAAGTGGTCGTCAATTAGAGAGACTATTGCATTTCTCGCGTTCTCTTGATCCTCTTTGTCGTCTAAGGTTTGAATACATTCTTCACTTTCTGCAATGACATTCAGTAAGGGGAATGCCGTTTTTGTTGTTGGCAAAGCATATTTGGGGCCCATCGACAACAGCCACTGAACGTCGTTTGGTATGCTTACGTTGGTGTTGTTGGTGAACCATTGGTTGTTGTGTTGAATATTCAATATTGATAGTTGTTCTTGTTTTAATTTTTGGTATTTGTTGATGTGTCTTGTTTTGTTTTTGTTGTCGTAGCTGCGACGGAGAACATTTTCGCTCTCAATGTATTTGTTGTAATCTTCTTCGTCCATTACCTGCTGCAGTTTCGTTTTAGTTTTTTTGAGTATAGTTTTGTTGTTGTGGAGTTCTTTATGTTTTTGTTGTATTATAAGCTTTAATATTTTTATGTGGAAATTGTAATTGTATTTTTCGAGTGTTGATAATAAATTTGGCGGGATTTTCTCATTTGTTTGGAATATGTTGTTGTTTGGAATATGTTATTAAATTTTTACGAACTGCGTTCATAAAATGCAGAAATCTCTTTCAAAACACTTTCTATATAAAGAACTAGCTGAACCCGGTGCGCTTCGCTACCCCTTTTGATTTTATATGCATTCAAAATTTTATTTACGAATATATGAGTATATGTGGATTTATTTATTTCATAGCAAATACCAAGCGTGCAGGAAACTGCAATTTTTTGAAGTTGAGTTGCATTTCTATTGCAATTAGTGAATTCGAGGTAGCAACATACTTCCCCATAATAAGCGTATTTCAAATTAATTGTTGTGTTGTTTTTTAGTGTTGGCCTAAGGCGTTGTGGGTCAATGGTTCTTATTAAAAGCATATCCCAATCTGATCCGATTTAAATATAATTTTAAAAAATTTACTTTTACACCAAATTCCGCCACAACTTTTATATTTCATTGAAATTGGTGCTTTAAATATGTGAAATCGGCCGAGAATATATACATGGGAGCTATATCCAAATCTTAACTAATTTCCAATTAATTATTATTGTAACCAAATTCCGCCACACATTCTGAATTTCATTGGAATCGGTCATAAATATCGTGTTTGGTGCATACCATGTATGAAGTCGGCCGAAATATATATGTTATCTGTACCTAAACCTCAACCGATTTCAATATAATTTGGCAATTTTTTTCTGGTGCCAGATTTCGTCTCTCTCGCTTTGGGTGCATCATATATGTGAAATTGGCCGAAAATATATATGGGAGCTATAATCAAATCTGAGCGAATTTGAATATAATTTGTCAAATTTATTTTTTTACCAAATTTAGTCACTCATGGCGAATTTCATTGGAATCGGAAATACGTATCGTGTTTTGTGCATCAAATATGTGAAATCGTCGGAAAATATATATGGGAGCTATCATGGTACAATGATATCAAGGTAGGGCAGAACTACCATATGATTTCAATTTTTTTATTTTCTTGGCCTAATACGTCATCTTTCTTTGTTTATGTATGTGTTTTATTTTCAATAACAAAAAATTGTTGAGAAAACATTCAAATTCAGGTGTTTTCAAAATGTTCATTTCAACGCATGCATCGACAAAATCTAGAGTTTTTGTAGCGAAATAATCCTTTAGAGACATATAGTACACGATTTTGAAAAGAAGTGTTGACCTTTCATTCAGTTATCGCGGTTTTCAATTATTTATTCAAAATAAATGCAACAAGTTGTTTGATTTTTTATTGTTTTGATACTAATTCTGACATTACAAGCCAAACAGGTAGACCTCTATACTTGCAATTTTTTCAAAGTTGACCTACCTTCTCTTCATTGTACCATGGGAGCTATATCCAAATCTGAACCGATTTTAATATAATTTGACTAA